CAGGGACCATGATTTCGAGAATTGCCCCTATGCTACTGTAAGTAAGGGTTTGCGGAATGTTGAGGCCAAGAGACGGCAATGAGGGTTACAGGGACCCCCAAAGTAAACAGAACATGCCTCGCATAGGGAGTAACATCCATTTCCCCCAGTTGAAGAAAGAAAGGTCACGCAGGGATAAACCAACTCCTCCTCCTCTTTCAGGGGATTTCCGGGCGAGAGAGGGTGTGACTCCGCCATATAGGTTTCGGCTCTGCGAATTATAGGGTTTCGGGTATTCGGGAAACCGCATGGCACCACAATTAGCCCCTTTTTTTTGGGGGGGGGGGGCGGGGGGGTGGGGGTGTCGCCACAACAGAAGTCGCCAGTGCCTGCACAGGAGCGCATCGAGTTTGTCTACGGCTACTTTGTCTTCGGCATGGTCGGCGCTTCCGTGGCATACTTGAGACGGGGCTGCGCGTTCCCTAAACCCTAAAACCCTAAACCCTTTTATGCTTTCCCAGCAAGTCTGAAGCCCTCAGCCTTGCAGCCTCAACTCAGGTCACGTGCCTCACGCAATGTGTGGGTTTCGGGAGCTTGTCGGGAGAAGTCGCAGAGAAGGCCCAAGGCAAAAGGGGTCTAGGGTAGCCTAAGCCCTATACCCTAGACCCTAAACCCTCCCGTGTGTGCAAGTGGGAGAGTCGAAGCCCCCGAGGTGTGGCCATGCGCACCGTGCAAAGTGAGACGGTAGCCGCCATACCGCTGGAGGCACACTTTGAGGTTTAGGGTTTAGGGTTCAGAGTTTGGGTGTGTAGGGTTTTAGGGTTTGGGGTTTTAGGGGTTTGGGGGTTTAGGGTTTAGGGTATAGGCAACTGGATGCAAGAAATAGGGTTTAGGGTTTAAGGCTAAGGGCTCCAGGGACATTCAGTCATCTAGCCTTCTAGCAGTAAGGTGTCGAGGTGAGGACCCAAAAAGCACAATACCCCTTAATTAGGGCATATTCCTCAAATCATAATAATAGGGATCCCTTTACAATTTAAGGTATATTCCTTAATTAAGGGGTATTTGGGCTCTCTGGGAAGTCCCTCGATGTTTCGGAGCGCTTGTAGAGTCCAGTGCTTCTTTCGTGCTCGGGACTGTCGAGTTGCTGAGCTTCCTTTCGGAAGCAGCGGCGAAGTTGGGGAATATCCCTCCTAACCCTAAACCCAGGCACCCCCAAGTCCCCAGAAGTGCTCCGCAGGGGGAACTTGTTGGGGCTCTGGATCTCTGGGCAGTTCATGGTTCGGGCGTCCCTGGTACAGTGGGAGAGATTGAGCACATTGACCTTGAACACTTATCGAAGCCAGTTGGGGCAATTGGGCTCCCCAAGAGCCGGAGCCCCAAACGGCTAAAGTGTGAAGCGAAAATAGGTTCAGAGTTGAACAGAGCCGAAACCCTAAACCCTAAACCCTAAACTCGTGAGCTTAGCCGGGCCCCACTTCTAAAAAGGCAGTTGAGAACACGGCTTGACCAGGGCAACATGCGGGCGCTGCTGATGCCTTCGGCCGACCCTACCGAGGCCGAGACGGGCACAGGATTTCGGCTGGATGAGATGGCTCCTTACTTATGGTACTCCTAACTGACAAGTACCCATGAACCTCCAAATAAGTCTTTCACCGTACCAGTATTCCAGGGCCAGAAATCTGCAACGAGCCAGAGGGAGAGAGAGAGAGAGAGAGACATCACTTTGAATACCGGGGCAGGCGCACAGCCAAGGGGTTCGCCCCCACGCCCAAAAAAAAGGAAAGACATCATGTTGGCTCAAGTCGGAACCTGCCCCCGGCTTGAGCCAGTGAACAGCTGTTTTCAGTATCCAGGGCACTCAAAGGTGAGCCGAGCCGGGGGAGCTGCAATAGAGGGGGCTCTGGGGTACAACTGTCACTGGGGGCCTGGCTATGTGATTGGTTTAGGCGCCCAGCTCCTGCCTGTGAAGCGATCCGTGCCGAAAACATGCACAGAAGTCAGGGGTGAGAAGGGGTGCTCAGGCTTGCAAGTCGTTGCCAGGACACGCAGTGCATGGGTATGTTGTATGTGGCCACTTTAGCTGTTAGACTGCTAAAGCGCAGCCTGGTCACGGCCGCTCCTTCAAGACAGGTGTTCGGGCAGCGACAGGGAGGACACTTTCTTGGCGGGGTGTCGTGCACGGGCGCGCCCTAAAGTCCCAGCCCACCATAACTCCCGCTAACGCGGGGGTGAAGGGGGTTGGGGGCGGCGGGGTTTGCGTAGCCGGCCCACTCCCGGGAACAAGGATGCCATCATACTCCCGGTAGTTAGAAGACAGCTCGATTAGGGGTGGGCCCCTGACTCAGGGCAGAGACCAGGGGGGTGCATGCTACCAACAAACCACCCAGAGGTGTGCAACCTGCGTGCAACAGATATGCGGAGGCCGTTAACTCAAGCACGTTTTTGTTTGCCACAGAACTTTTCTCATCAGACAGATTGGGACATTCACTCAGAAGGTTCACTTAGAGAGAGAGAGAGAGAGAGAGAGAGAGAGAGAGAGAGAGAGAAAAAGAGAGAGAGAGAGAACAAGAGAGAGAGGGAGGGAGGGAGGGAGGGAGGGAGGGAAAGAGAGAGAGAGAGAGGGAGAGTACCTGGGGACAACTGGTATTCCCTTTCTGGTCCCTATATAGTATAATAAGCCCCCAAAACCCGATTTAAATTATTCAAGCCCCTATAGTGTTAGTGTGTGTGTGTGTGCGCGTGCGTGCGTGCGTGTGTGCGTGCGTGCGTGCGCGCGTGCGTGCGTGCGTGCGTGTGCGTGCCATGCTGCTGCCTTATGTTGCCTCTCCGGCCTTGGCTTACAGCCTATAGGTAGGCCCTTGGGAGATTTTATATTTTCCCTTACTAGGCTTGAGAGGATCATATTTAGGAAACCCTAACCCCAAACCCGAAACCTTAGACCTATTTTTCCGAGGGTTTTAACAGCCATCCGAGCAACAGAGACAGGTCTACAGGGCGCTCTTGGATGCCAGCGTGCTGGCCGAGGCTGCCCGCCAGGGCTGCGTAGGGTTTTGGGTTTAGGGTTAGGGGTTAGGGGTTAGGGGTTGAGGGATGAGGGTTGAGGGTTGAGGGTTGAGGGTTGAACAGTGGGTTTAGGGCCTTTAGGGTTTAGGAGCTAAAAGGGCCAGATGTATCTAAAAGGGCCTAGGGTTTAGGGTTAAGGGTTTGGTGTTTAGGGCCAGATGTATCAGTATGGTCTCTTCGTCAGTCAAGTTAGAGAAGAGTGGGCTCGTCCTAACATGGTAACACCGGCCCGTCGGGTCTCGAGGACCGCAGCAAGCCTGATGCACAAAGGGTTTACTGTTTAGGGTTAGGGCTCAAGGTTTAGGGTCTTAGGGTTTCGGGTTTAAGGTCTTAGGGTCTTAGGGTCTAGGGTTTAGGGTTTAGGGTTTAGGGTGGGTTTAGGATCATCCCAAACCTTACCCTCTTCAATGACTAAAATCTACGGCCCCAGTCATGGGCTGCTCTAGGTAGGTGTCTAAGTACCCTAGAAAACATGTCACCCTGGGTTACTGTGCTTAAAGCCACAGCTACTCAAAACTCGAACCCATGAAGCCCCAAGAAGCGGCTTAACCAAGGAACTCCTAGAGGACTTGTCCGACGCGGACATTCGGAACTTCTTCAGTGCCTTGACAGTGCTAGGGTTTAGGGTTTAGGTTTAGGGAGTACTCAAACAACTCCGAAACTTGGGTTCTGCACCCATCTGGAAAAGTAACCACAAGAGGCCATTTGAGCTTAAGACTACGCAGAAACTGTTGCTTTGAAGGGGAATGGTAGTGCGAAATCAGGCCTTACTGAGGCTTCCTTTGGCCGTTTCAATCCGGAGGTTGCTTTTGAGGGGAATCCTTGCTAAAATCTCAGAAAGACAGGCACATAACGTATACACGGTGAGATGAGTGTGAGTATCTTGGCTTCGGAACTAGGACCAGGAGCCCGAGACCTCAAACCCCAAAACAAATCGGGGATCAGGGTTTAGGGTTTAGGGGGCCCTAAACCCTAAACTCTAAACCCTAAACCCTAAACCGGTAGCACGACTTGTCAAGAGAGGAGTCGCGCCCCAGGCCCGTAGGTTTTCGTTTCAAGGTGAAGGGTTCTACTTGAAGGTTCATGGGAAGTTGTAAGTGGAGTTATATGTACCCCAAGTAAGATTATAGCCAGTTAAAAGTATAATTACCCTACAAATCACCCCACTTGTAACTATCCATGAACCTCCAGGTACAGGGTTAGGGTTTAGGGTTTAGGGTTCAGGGTTCAGGGTTTAGGGTTTAGGGTTTAGGGTTTAGTCAAAGGGTTTAGGGTTTAGACCCAGAAAACCCAGAGTGTCCCTGGAGTCCCCAACCCCAGAGTGTCCCTAAAGTGCCTCGCCCAGGGTGTCCCTGGAGTGCCCAACCGCAGAGTGTCCCTTGAGTGCCCAACCCCAAAGTATCTCTGCCCAGAGAGGGTGGGTGTTTTGTATGTATATCTATACATAGCATTGTATGTACATGTGCATATGGCCCATTCTGAAAATGATGGTCCTTTTTGGGGGTACCCTAAATATTATGGGTCGCCTTGCAATAGTAACCCCAAAACGGACCAGAGATTAGAACATTGACCACATGAACTTGCATGTGCCCCTGCGCTTCAAAAAGTGTGCTGGTGACGAGGTGAGGGGCTGAAGATGGTGCAGCTGATTCTGGTCCCTCGGCTCGGAGTTTGCCTTTGATGCGCGCCGCTTTTGAGGTTTAGGGTTTGGGGATTAGGGTTTTGCAAAGGAGGGGCCCCCTCGTTATGGGTAGGGATATTCGTAAGAGCCTTGTATTGGTTTGTAGGTCGCAAGTATTGTAGATCTTAGGCGCTTCCCTGAATTCCAGGTTAGTTAGCTTTGTGAGGGAGACACTCCTTTGTAGTTGTAGGGTTTGAATTTGTGTGGTGTTGTTCTGAGCACAGCGGCATAACACTTTGGATCAAGTAATTGTTTAGTCCAGGACGCAGTAGGCCTGATGCACTGTTTGTTTACCGATGGGTGTGGCGCTCCCACAGCCGCGAAGCCGCACCATGAAGAAGTCACACCAGTGGCGGTTCTTCGTGATGAAAGCGAAATAGCAAGCTCTCCGACAGAGCTGGTTTTCAGTGCAGACCCTGCCCTACCGGTAGCATTTTTGACATTCAGCAGGCCGAATGGAGGTTCTGACGTTCCTTGGGTCGCCCAGTGGTACCCTTTTTGCCTTTTGGTTGGTTCAAAGCTCCCTTTTCCAGAAACCAGCGCAAATGAGGAGCCCTAAACCCTAAACAATAACCCGAAACACTAAGCCCTTAACCCTTAACCCTTAACCCTTAACCCTTAACCCTACCCTTATCACAATATGGTGACCGGGCGACCAAGGTTCTGGAGTTCACGTCACGGCCCTTAGGTTTCCGCATCTCCCAGACCTATCCCTATACGGTCACGGACGTTGCAGCCGGGCCCGGTAGATCTGCCCAGCCAGGATGGGTGCTGACACATGTCTCTTAGGTATACCTTGGGAATGTTTTTTCCATTTTGGGTGTACTAGAATTCCTAAGAAACAGCTCCCTAAACCCTAAACCCTAAACCCTAAACCCTAAACCCTAAACCCTAAACCCTAAACCCTAAACCCTAAACCCTAAACCCTAAACCCAAAAGAAACGGGTCCCCAAGTCCAGTGTAGGTCAATGGTGAGGAGCTGCCGGCTTTTTGGGACCAAGCCGCGCCTTTGCTCCGGAAGGCCACCCAGACCCTCCCTCAGATCTCTCGGAGTGATCCTTGGTTTAGGGTTTAGGGTTTAGGGTTTAGGGTTTAGGGTTTATGGGGATTAGTTACTTAGTTTAGGAGACAAATAAGATTATGTAATTATAAGGGTCCCTTCTATACCTCCCTATACCCCCTTAATAGGTGCTTCTGCCCAGTGTTATCCCTTTTTGCTTTTTTTTTTCTTTTGGGGGGGGGGGGTCCAAAGAGTTCCTGATAAAGTAACCATCCCCACAAAGGGAACCCTTATTGTAGTGTGGCGGTTGCCCTAAACGCTATGCCCCCAAAGAAGGGTGCCCTTGTCGTAAACCCTAAACCCTCAACCCTCAACCCTCAACCCTAAACCCTAAACCCCAAACCCTAAACCCTAAACCCTAAACCCTAAACCCTGCCCTTACCACAATATGGTTCCGGAGCCACCAAGGATCCTGCGCCGGCGCCGCGCCAAGGCAGGAAGCCTGCAGCCAAGGGGAAATCCAACCTGGTTGCTAATATGTGTTTAGGGGTTAGGGTTTTAGGGTTTAGGGTTTAGGGTTTAGGGTTTAGGGTTTAGGGTTCCTGGTAGCCCAGTGGTACTCTTTTGCCCCTTTGTTTTTGGTTATGGGCCCCCGTTATAAAATGACCAACCCAAAAAAGGGTGCCCTTATGATATGATGGTTACGGGCTACCAAGGTTGCAAGCTTCACGCCGTGGGCGTGGACGTCCAAGGCATCCCTGGAGAATCACATCATGCGCTACCAACGTCCTTTAGTCCAGATGCCGACTGTACAGAACTCCGGGTAGACCCATGGATATTTGTAGACCCCTATGGGATAGTTCAGATTTCGCCTTCTTGGGTGGGTTTAAGAGGATCATATCTTGGAACATGTTCAGAGAGTTGGACGGGTCAACCTAGCATTGCGGCAGCCAGTTTATCTGCGCTAGATCTGGAACTAAGCCTCGTCGTGATTGCTGACCAGGCTATTAGACTTGGTAGCCCAGTGGTACCCTGTTCCCTTTTTTTGGTTCAAGGTTCCCTTCTAAAGTAATTAACCACACCAAAAAAAGGTGCCCTGATGATTATTATATGGCTACTGGGCTACCAAGTATTAGATGCTTTCCCATCTCGCCCACACCCATAGAGCGAAGAGAATCCAAGAGCTCCGCGATGGGTTCCTGAACGACGGATTAAAGCAAGCCTCCAGGTCCATCTTCAGAAATCTTGCTAGGTAGGCTCTTGGGGTTATATATATATATATATTATATTATTTATTTATTTCGTTTTATTCATTTTTTGTTTTTGTTAATCCCTTATTGGGTTTATATCAGGATCATGTGTTACGAACGTTTTTCAGAGGGCTTCAAAGATCATGCTAGCTTGGTCTTGAGAAGCTCTGGGATTCTCTGAATCCATAGGGTGCCCTCTTCGCTCAATGCGTACAAGGCCCTCTTACCCGGGCAGCCGGCCTCGATCACCAGATGGCGATGTGCGGGAAAAATGCATGCACGTCTGATACGAGCTCCGAATAGAATAGTCTTTCTTCAGTAATATTCCCCAATGGTCCCTCTCTCTCTATATATATACATATATATACACATATATATATATATAATTATACAATAATGACCCCCAAACACCCTATTCCAATTGTTAAGGCCCCGTCAAGTTGGTTGGGGGGGAATTGAGGCCTGGGGAGCGGGTCTGCTTCTGATATCGGGTTCTGAGTGGAGGTAGATGTGTCAAGAGTGTCTTAGGCCTAGGCGTTGGCTCGTTTTATGGTTTAGGGAAGTGTGCGGCAATTCTCTTCCGAGATCGTTACCCTGCAGTGCGTGTCCAGGCGGGTGACAAAAACAAACCATTCGGCTCAGATCGGTGTTGGCTGAAATGGGGTTTACGAAAATAGCCCCGATAGACCCCCAAATAGTCGGATCCCTTATAAGAAGGGCCCCAGTAAGGCACCCCTAATTTCGGAAAGCCCCAAGTGGCGGCTTCGGGGACGATCTAGATTTGGAAAAGGGGACCTAATTGAAACACAGGAGCCTAACTACTGTTCTTAACCCCTAGAAACCCTGACTACTGTTCTTAACCCCTAAAAACCCTGACTACTGTTCTTAACCCCTAGAAACCCTGACTACTGTTCTTAACCCCTAGAAACCCTGACTACTGTTCTTAACCCCTAGAAAACCTCATGTAGTCATGCGTAGGCCCCTTCTAGTCTCACGGGGTACCAGATGGCTTCGCCAACGTCGAATACCTTGTGCATTCACGGCCACAGCTGGGGCAAGAATAGCCTTGGTTTTTGCATCAAGGTTTAGGGTTTAGGGTTTAGGGTCTCAAAGTCCGTTGCTCAAAAGGGTTTAGGGTTACATCATGTCAGCACGCGAGCGTTGTCCTCACAAAGCCCAGGAAATCTCCCCGTACTCCAGCACGTTCGAGAAGATCGTGAAGCCAGTGAAGGCGCCAGCGCCGGGGGCTTTCTCAAAGAACCGAACTACTTGGACCCGGAGTGGGCCCCTTATTCCCTTTTTCTCAGGGCTTAAGTTCCCTTATCAGCCCCTTTAAACCAAAAAAAGGGCGTACCCTATTTATTCCTATTCCGGGATATAGACTGCGTAACTGTCGATTTTGTTTCTTTGCCCGCCCTTCCGGTTTTTCCTGGTTCGTTTTGCCCAGAGCGTCCCTAGGTCTTTAAGGGCCCGCCGCCAACGTTTGCCCACCTTTTGCAGAGGCAAGCGTGACTGGACCCATTGCACTTAGTTTAGGGGTTTAGGGGTTTAGGGGTTTAGGGGTTTAGGGGTTAGGGGTTAGGGGTTAGGGTTTAGGGTTTAGAAGCTGCGAACCTGATTATTGGCAAGCGTAGCAGAATCGGCCATACAGAATTCCTCATTCTCACGCCGCGCTCAGGAAGAGAATTGTTCCCGCGCATCTTTGGGTGAAACAATGTCACGGACGAGTTCTGAAACGGTCACGGAAACGTTCTGAAACGAGAAGACTACCATGATCATGCGGGCATGGGTGCGCTGGCCATTCGCACTCACGGCTAACATGGATGCCGTCGAAGGGCATAGATGCAAGGACGCTCTGGCCATGGGAAGGAGGCAGGTAGTACACAGCAAACACTCAAATGTGTGAACCCTAAACCCTAAACCCTAAACCCTGAACCAGTCCGTTTGACATTCTAGGAAAAATGACACTCAAACCTGATTCGTTGTTTTTTGCCATCGAACAAAAGCACACGACGTACAAGAAGGTGTGGGCAAACGTTCCCTAAACCCTAAACCCTAGACCCTAGACCATAGACGACCCTAGACCCTAAACCCTAAACCCTAAACCTAAACAGATTTAGGCCAAATGTGAGGCTGGTCGGGACTGATCCGAGCTTCGCAATGTTTCGGGGTTTGAGGGCTACGGTTCAGTCAGGGTTTAGGGTTTAGGGTCTAGGGTCTAGGGTTTAGGGTTTAGGGTTTAGGGTTTAGGGTTTAGGGTTTAGGGTTTAGGGTTTAGGGTTTAGGGTGGGAGCCTGCACTTGACGATCTTTCTCCGGATTGTTTACGCTTTCAGCTTTTTAGGGTTTAGGGTTTAGGGTTTAGGGTTTAGGGTTTAGGGTTAAAACAAATCCTCCTTTGCGCAGGCAGAGGACGAAGACTTTGTGGACGACGTTTCGCAGTATCTCTCAGAGAAGCACTTCGTGCAGGAATTTTTTCACTAACTCAGGAGTAGCTCAAAGTGGGAGTTCAATAAGAGGATCCTCACCTACCGCATGGTGCTTTGCACGACACGCAGCTAGCCCATGTAGAGGCAGTGGACCGCCAAACCCATGAAAAACGTTTTCGGCCAGTCCAGCAGGCACTCTTCCAGTGTAAGCCGTACGGCACTCTATCTACTATTTGCCCAAGAACCCCCAAAAAGATAAAATATTTCCGCCTCATAAGGGTGTAGTATGTATTGTTTTCTTGCTTGCTTAAGAACCCCCCAAAGAATGAGATATGTTCTTCCTTATGCGGGCAAGATAGGGATTACCGTGTTTTTTTTTTTGGGGGGGGGGGGGGGGGGTTCTTATGCAAATAGTAGAGCAATGTACCTGAGCTCCAGACCCCCCCCCCCCCCCCCCCCCACCCTAAACCCTAAACCCTAAACCCTAAACTCTAAACCCTAAACCCTAAACCCTAAACCCTAACCAGGAGCGGCAGAAGTTCCACATGCGATCCAAGCCTCTCGGCTGCAAGACCCTGGTTGCGTCACAGCTCACTGGTTTCTAAGGTTTAGGGTTTAGGGTTTAGGGTTTAGGGTTTAGGGTTTAGGGTTTAGGGTTTTGGAGGTTTCCCTTATACTGACAGCCCTTAATAGGGATCACAGTACCCCCTATGATAATCCCTTTTAAGGACTGTCCGTATGAGGGGGAACATCCCAAGCTTGGGTTTTAGGGCGGGTTTAGAAAGTGCAGGGCCATGTATTGCATACATGGTAGCGCGAGACTCCCCTACACACGTACGAGAAGCTCACATTTTGGGCGGTGTCCTGCAGTGGCGTTGGCCCACGCCGTTGTCATTATTCGCTTGGCCTTGTAATAGTTTAAAATTGGGCCTGACGCTACTTTACAGGAACCGGTTTAAGACCCAAGTATGGGCACATGGACCGTTTGGGTAATGCCAGTTCTGATCATGAATGCTTTGAAGGTTTTTGAGAGCGGAGGGCTGAGACATTGCGCAAAGATCCAGTTTGCGCAGCCGCCATCGACGGCTAAGCTTTGCAGGTACCGCTTGGCCTACTACTTCCTCTCTCGCTTTGTGCGCACGATCGAGGTCATGACCGATGGTACCTTGAAGTTGTTTGAAGCCCTGAGCTCCAAACCCAAAACCCTGCAAGCAAGTGGTATATATCCATCTAGCTCGATACTGAGTATACCCGCCGCCATTTCCCTACCATTGGGGGACCTACCATTGGGGGACCCAACTGGAACGCCTGCAGACGCAACCCGAACTAGACGGTCTTCGAGTACTTAGGGGCAGCAGCCCGTTGAGTCGTGAGGATGGCTGTGGGCTTGAGGTAGGCCCTGTGGATATTTTACATTTTTCCCTTATTCGGTTTCAGAGGATCATATTGAGAATATTTTTCAGAGGGGTTTCTAACGGCCATCTTAGATTCACAAGCCGTGGCAGCGATGCTACAGCTGTCTTTGACCGTGAAGATGCGCCTAGCATGTCAGAGCTGCGAGCGATTGAACTCTTTAGGTTTAGGGTTTGGGATTAGTTTAGGGTTTAGGGTTTAGGGTTTTGAAACCTCTTCAAGGTGTGCAGAAGCCTGGTAGTCCAGTGGTACCCTGATACCCTTTTCCCTTTTTAGGGTTCAGGGCTCCCCCTTATTATGATAATACGTTTACTGGGCTACCAAGAAGCCTAAGCAATCATGCAGTATCACCACCGAAGAACGCCAACACAACTGCAAGACACAGGACCCATCTTTTCATTCTAATTGCAAAGGGCCCTCGTTGCATTGGGTGCCTATGCTCAGTGTTAAGTTGATGTGGGTTCTGCTTTGTTTTGGGTGTATCTTGTGGGCGCCCTGTTGAGGATACAAATACAATGAAGATCCTACCTCATGTAGGGTTCCTTCCCAGAGACTCCCACATCCCTGAGTTGGCTTAAATGCAATAGGGATCCCAATAGGAATGCTTCTTTACGAGATGTTCAACATGAAATAAGAATGCCCCTTAAGTAGAACGACGCTGGAGTCTTTGGCTTAATGTGTATTCCTCTATTGCGGCTACTGGATGTTCAAGCGGGCCTAGTGACCAGTGTTGAGGCAAAGAGGGTTTAGTTTAGGGTTAGGGTCCCTGCATGAAACATCTGCAAGGGTTGCTTCTCCAGGCACGTCAGAGAGCTTCTGGGTGACCCTAAACCCCAGTGTTCCGAATGGGCAAAGAAGGTTTAAGCTTCAGAGGCCTGTAAGTCGACAACCCAGGGCCGTACATGTTGTAAGGCCTGAGGTGCAAGAGCTTCTTGTCATGAAGGGTTTCGGGTTTTAGGGTTGAAGGGTTTCGGTTTTTGGTTTAGTTTAGGGTTAGGGTTTGGGGTTCCAAGATCTAACCGACAGAGCATGCAAGGCAACCTGCACTACCTGCACTTCTGTCTGCCGGTGACCGCCATGTGGTATGTGTACGGCGAAGCGAAGCAAAACATTCTGGACTCCTGCGGGTGCATCTGGCTGAGGGCCCATAAAGCCTAACTTCGGGCCTGAGGGTTGAGGTTTAGCGAGCGAAGGTTTTAGACTTGAGGATCTACAGGGGAGGGGGCACGCCGAGTCATAAGTAGAGTTATGAGAATTATGAGGACCCTGAATTGCGTTATAAGGCTCCTCGCTTAGGTTAGAATCCCTGACTACAGTTAGTATACTAAGAGGGGTCCTGCTTGTAGAGCTTGTAGCTCCCATCCTTCTGAGGCATCGTGTGGGACAGATTGTCGCCCAGTTGGCTTGGGGTTTAGGGTTTAGGGTTTAGGGTTTAGGGTTTAGGGTTTAGGGTTTAGGGCCGTGTTTCTTCTTCAGGCCTGGGGGCCCGATGGAGTTCAGGGTAGGTAGCTCTGAACTCTACGTATAGCTTGTGAGACACTACCTGAAGGCTCCAATGTAGTTCCTTTTCGGGCTGGATGTAGGGGATTCTGGGATTCTAGTATACTACCCCAAAAAGGTACTAGAAAGGAGCCCGTGGGTAAACCCTAAACCCAGGTAGCAGGGGGTCGGCAGTGCAGGACACCGTTCCCTTCAACTCACCTGACATCAAAGCCCGCTACTTCATCCGAATGTGTCCCTTGGCTTGTCCTGTTCAGCAACTTGGTTGGGAGCTCAGTTCTATTCGTGTAGCGTGAGGTCTGGAGTGCAAGGACTTACTAAGTGTGGCGGGGGAGGGGGGTGCAGCGCCGAGTATCCACCTGGCAGAGGTTTTGTCGAGGGCGCCGGCCATTGCAAGAGCTTACTCTTCATGTCTAAGCGTTTGACCCACAAGAACCATCAGCCCAACCCCTCCTACCTGTTCTCCTACATACGAAGGGCCCCTCGATATCATTTGGTCCTTGATGCACTTGTTGCCACATGTGAGTGTGGATATGTGCACATACGTTCTCGTCCCCTAAGCCCGAACCCCTCAACCCTGCCCTCGGTGGTGTTGGTGGCCAGCAGTTTTCCCAGACCCCTGGCCAAATCCAAAAAATAGAACCAGCAAATAGTACCCTATGCGACTATTTGGTCATTCTTAGGCATCCTTTAAGGGAATCTGCTTTTTGAATCCTCCCAGGGGTCCGGGTTTTGGGGGGTTTCTGTGCTGGTACCCGTCCAGGTTCAAGGGATGAAGACTCGTACCCCTAAGGTTGTGCCCCTAACAGTTCCCCGTTTTTATACTCCCAAGATGGCCCTTATACTACCTCAAGGATCTTCAAAACGGGTCCCCAAAACCCAAGGGGGCTTAGGGTTTAGGGTTTAGGGTTTAGGGTTTAGGGTTTAGGGTTTAGGGCAGCTTCCAGGTTCAAAAGGGTTTAGGGTTTAGGGTTTAGGGTTTAGGGTGACATCCTGAAGGGTCCAAGGTAAAGCCCTTGGACAGGTGTCGATCTCCACCGCGAGTCCAAGCTGATCAAAGACTTGTCCCGTTTCTCGGCGGCCACCCTAAACCTATGGCCTCCTTAGGAAGTTTCATTTATGAAAGCTCAAAGAAACATGAAACATAATATCCTTTTCTTTCTAGTACCTTTTTGGGGTAGTATACTAGAATCCCCTATATCTAACCCAAAAAGGTAGACCTATGGCGCCCCTAATTAGGAAGTTCTATAGATGAAACTGGCAGAGCAAAGAGGTTATGGCGTGCACTAAAGCAACGCACAACTTTTACTTGAGCCAAATGGTCAGTTTCGTTCGAGGTTTGTGAAACATGTTGCTGCTGAGCACTCCTGCAAATTATGTTGAGGGTGCTTTAAAGATGGTTCCTATTCTGCCCTTGGCTTCCTCCCATGCGTTGCCGCATTGGAATTCGGCCAGCTGTACTTGGGCAGGCCTTTTTAAGCCTATACCATCTACTCCCCCTTCACTCGTGCAGAGTTTGCAGGCCTAAGCAGTTTCTGCTTGAGACTCGTGAGCGTTGCCGCTTCCCGAGAGACAGTGCCTATTTGCACCAGGCTGCTGCGTGCAAGAACTTGGGCGGCATTGCTGCCTTGCCAAGCGTAAGCAAAAGTGCAAAGCATCACTCCATTTGGAGTAGCTGGAGTGCCGCAGGAAACTTTGCTGGAGCCAGAGCCTTCGTAAAAATATCGGCGCGCTGCTTATCTGTGTTTATGTACGTCAAGCGCACATACGGGTCCTCATAGACTTCATACAGGGATGAAAGATCAATCCTGTGAGTCTTACTCACGTGCCGAAGCTTTGGGCTGTAGCCTGCGTGGACTATCTGTATGACTGCCGAGTTATCCTGATGACACTGCAATAGCACCTCTCGGCCAAAGACCTTTTCCATGAACTGTTGCATGGGTAGTGCTTCCCCGAACACTCCAGAGCTCAGTGAAATGATCTCGGCCTCAGTGGTTGATCTGCTGGTCGCCGTCTGCTTTTTGCTGGCCCAGCACAGTGGCCAGAAGGAGTGTTCCCCTTCTATACAGAGTACCATCCCGGACGTGCTGTGAGCATGCTCTACATCAGAAGCGTGGTCTGCGTCCGTGTACAAGCTAAGTTTGAGGCTTTCTGGCTCATCTCCCATGGTGTGAGTGATAGAGAGCTCTGGTGTTGAGTGTAGGAAACACATTAAACGGAAGAGACGTTTGTCGTCCGCAATGCTCCAGCAAGTGACTCGACGGGTAAGGTCTGACAGAGGTTTCATCACGTCAGGGCGTGATAAGCGTGCGAGCCACAGGCTTTTCATCAACACTCTGCTGGCAGCATCTGATAGCTGCCCCCTTGTTTCCCAGTCGCTTGTAAGCAGAGAACCTTCAGCAACAAAGGGCGTTGCCGCCTCTTTGAGCTTCCGGCCCGACAGTTGCTCATATAAGTCACAAGCATTTCGGCAGTAGTCAGACATGTCATATGTCATGACTGTGTTGCCTTCGCGCTGGTAGACGTGCTTCCGCCCTAACACCCTGTCTACTTCACTTGGCGGTTCAATTTCTAGGTGCTTTTGGAGCTCTTCCCAGAATGCAGCTTGAGTATCTTTGGGACCACTTAAGACTATGTCGTCAACGTACAGCGTTAGTAGCTGCCTAGTCTTGGGGAACCAGAATGACGATTGGAACAGTTCAGAGTGTTCACCTCCCATCAAACTCATTACCTGCTTGAACCTTTCGTGCCAATGAAATCCAGATTCTGGGTGCCCGTAAAGGGACTTCCAGAGTCTGACGCAGGGGCGCTCTATTCCTCGGAACTCCGGCGGTGTAAGCTCTCGCGGGAGTTCGACCCACGTGGGAACTTTCGTGTTTAAATCGGATTGTGTGTAGGCCTTAACCACATCAGATTGTGACGAACAGTGACCTTTGATGGCTCCGTAAGCAAGGCTGAAGTTAATACCTACTATTCCAGTGGGATTCACTTTTAGTTCTTGCAGGATTGCCAGGTTGTTCGCTTCATCTCTAATGTCGTCGCCTCTGAAAACGATTCGAGCCTTTAGCTTTCGCAACTCTGGCGTTTCAAAGTGCTTTATGCTCAAGATAGTCATGAGTCGGCCAATATTGAGGGGTTCTTTTCTAGCCAACAAATCCCTGCGTGAAACTACTTCCTTGTAGTCCCAAGTGCCGTTGGATATCAAACCCTTGGCCTCTCCGTCTATGCATTCCTGAGCGCCTGCGTGTTTGCCCCAATCCTTTCTATCTATCAAGTGGTGGATGCCAGCGTAAATCATCTCTTGGTCCTTCGGGGGAGTCCTAGGGACATGGCAGTGTGGAGAAGACGGCATGACGGGCATTGCTGCCACTTGTGAGGAGAGGTGCGGGTACAAGCTGTGCACAATGGTTGTGGCCATAGACCTGGTGTATTTGGCAGTTTTTGCAGTTTTGCTTCCCTCAATGGTGCTGTGCTGAAAGCCCGGCGGGTGTTGACAGCGCTTGGTGTTCAAGTTGTCGGCAAGTTTCCAGCAGGAGGTAACAATCCTCCAGGGCTTCTTGTGCGGCGTCCCTTCATCATCCATCAGGCCATGAGCGCATCCATGCGTTACCGCAGTGAACAAGCCATGCTTCTGGATGAACTGGGTAAGCTCAGGTAGAGCCCAACCGCTGCAGCCTTGAGGCCACTCGAAACTCACATGCCCCCCTTGAGCTAAGACAACTTCCGCGACGCTTATGAAGTTCTTCAAGATTCTCCTTGAGCGTTGCCGCTTCTTTCGGAGTTTCTCTCGGAAGCCATTTCCCAAGCGTGCGATGTTGAGGTGCTGCAGTTGACTCCATGGGCCGCAAGGTATGCTGCCCCATAAGTCACAACCAGGAAAGAGCTGGACAAGCTTCTTTAAAGACTCCGTTTGCTTTGGACACGACATGTCCGAGCTGCTTTCTGTCAAACGGAAGTGGTTGATTTCGTTCTCCTCATTCACCTGGCCTAACATTGAATCAGGCTCGCAGCAAAACTCAAACAAAGTGGCATCCTCGGCACGTCTGTTGCGTTTGACCTTGGTCTGAGAACTCGCGCTGGTAGGGGCAGAGTCCCCAGTCAAAGTTGAGCCACAGCTTGGGACTGCTTTTGGGTCTAAGGCTTCTAGATCGTGGAGGATTGCTGCTACCGCTTCCGCACCTTTGAGGGGTGAGCGTTTGAGTTGCTCTTCTGCGTTGGCCTTCATCGTGTCAAGCTTGGCTTGGTTTGGGTCAATCTCCTTCTTTGGGAAAAACCATGTGGCCCCTACCCAACTTTTAGAGGAAATGCGTCTATTCGGACTCTTGTCTTGCCAGTCGTCGGAGAAAGTAGACAATTTGCCGCGGCATTTCCACTCTGTCTCTCGGGCAGAAGACAAAAGATGGAAATCAAAAGGACAATGTCGGCCCACAGGTGTGTACAAACGTTTTCGGGGCTTGACATGCACTCGTTTCCACGCCATGCGCTTGGAATCAAAATCCCAGTTGTCCAGATCAGCCCCCTTGACGCCTTGCTTCGTCTCATCTGGGCGAGTCGCCTCATGAGATGGTTGCAGCGGCGCGGCTGGGGCAACACTATCAGAAGCAGGACGCGCGGCGTCGGCCTTTGCTTTGGCCTTAGCCTTCAGTGCAGCGGCCTCGTCTTCTAAAAGCTTCCTAAACCGTTCATGGCACGCATCATTGTGTGGCACGCCTTCTGCTATCCTATCACAGCCCTTGCACCCAAGAGTTATGCCGAAACGAAGGGCCCTTTCCAATGTCACATATGTTTTGCGTTTGCGAACTTTGGGTTCCGGGGCTCCTTTCTCGAAAGGCAAAGCTTCTCGAGTGTCAAGCGTGGGCATTGCTGCCTCTGACTTGAAAAGGGAAAGTTTCTCAACCTGAGCCTCGTGCAATGGAAACACAAAAGAATCAGGCACGACCAACTCTGACGCGTACACTTGGATTGGTCTTCCGCAGCCCCTTTCATCTTTGCGAAGTGAGTCGTAGTCAAGCACCAAGTGAACTCCACGAAACTTGTAGCCTGCATCCAAACGCCATCCGCAAAAGATCCCAGGGAACGTCCTAGGGTCAAAAGCTGGCAAATCGCGGTGTTGAGGAGGCTTGTAGTACACTAAGGCCCCTAAAGGGATTCTATGGCCCTCAAAAGGTTCACCTTTGTTGGCCACCTCATAGCACGTTTTACCCTCCTTGAACTCCTTGGAGGCTTCTGTTTCGTTTGGGTGCACTGGCGCGAGGGTTGTAAACGACCTAGCGACGCAAAAATATTCTATCGATCGCGGCCATAGGTTGTGTCCGAAGCCAGCCTTCAGGTGGACGGCTCTGGTACCCTCTTTTATTGTCCTGATGGCTCGCTCGAGTTGTGAGTTGTGAAAAATATCATGGGGTACGCCTGGATCCGGCAGCCAGTTCAAAGCCTTCACTGCGTCGACGAGCTCGGAAGCTGCATCCGACTTGACCACGCATAGTGCTTTTCCATGGGCCCTGGTGCCACCAAATTTTTGTAACACTGAGACATTCTGATCTGTGCTTCTATTGGTTTGTGGAAAAGCCCCATAGCAACCGCTATAGTCGTCATAAGCAATCAAGCAGGCCTGCTCTCCTTCCGAGCCTTTTGTTAAATCTTGACCGAGAATAATGTGGTCCGCCCGGAGCCTGTGCCCATAGTGCAAGGGAGGAGTGTCATCAGGGTCGGGCCCTTCGTCCTTCCTACTTCTATGGACTTTAGCAGTCATTTTGGCACGCTTGCAAATGTCACAGTACCGGTTTTTGGGATAATGTGTCAATTGATGCGCTAAGCTCTTTGATGCTGCTATGAGCCTCTCTCGCAGGGAAGGGGTCCATTCAGGGTGCTCTTCGGCATCTTCCTCATCCAACGGTTCATCTCCTTCACCCGGGATTGGCTCAGCACAGGCTGTGAGTTCATCCTCTTCCCCAAAACGCGGCAGGGAGCTATCCGGTTTCAACCTTAAGCATTCCACATCTGCCTTGCCAGACTCTACAGGCTTATCCCGTGTAGGCGCCTTGGGCCCGGAGGCCTCATCAGGCATTCTTGTGGGGAATTCAGGACGTGATTCTTTCGCCGCTACTCTCCTAAGATGGCGCGGGGCTAAATCACTCGATGAACTGGCCGGTTCTGATGGAGCAGCCATGAGCGTTTCCGCTTCTGGCTTGACAGCGCGTCCACAAGCGGGTAAGGCAGAACACGAGACGGATTCTCTCAGGACGGGCACGTTTTCTTCAATGCGATCTGCATAGATCTTTGCTGATTCAGGGCAGACAAAGGTGACATCCTGGACTCTGTCAGCTTTCACGAAGAAAGGGAGTTGGTCAGGAAACCATATCCACGGGCGCTTGTGTTCATTTACCTGGATGCCTACACTCAGAGCTGGAGGACAATCCTTTAGGGAGTAGAACACATTGTCACCTGAAAGGTCTCCTTTCATCCTCACTGCTTGGGAGCCTGTACGGGTGCGCCCTCCAGTTGAGAACTGCAACTTTTCCGGTGCCTTGGAAAACATCTCATGGGTCTCTTCAGGCAAATGTTTCTTGGAAATGAGATTCCTACCGGCGCCGCTATCTAAGAGAAAGTCCATGTTTAGGGGCTTAGTCTGGTTCATGGTGCACACGCCTGCCATTCCAGTGGCATTCCCACCTGGGTCAAGGCACGCCATAGCCGTCATGACTGTCGTGAACGCCCTAGCAAAGAAGCTGCCTTTTGGGAGCACACTGCCGTTGAGCTTGACGTTCCGGCCTGACTTGAGCAACTTGTTGCCTAGACCCTTCACCCTGCCAGCTAAACCCTGAACGCGCTTCGGGGACTCCTGCTCTGAAGGGCATGCGTTGCCGCATTGCCTCTCTTCTACGCAAGAACCCTTAGCGGTTGGAAGCGCGCTTGCCATGGAAACACCTGCCGCGACTGTTGCTGCACCTGCAGAAGCCTTGATGCCCCTGGGCTTAGGCCCTTTGTACAGGTTGTTCTTATCGTGGATATACTCACACGCATTTCCATGAGTGCAACAGTCATACGCAAAGAACATGCATGGCAACTTGGCTTTTTCCTCTTTTGTGCGTGGCGACTTTGGCTTGTCCTTTCCTTTGCCTTTGCCTTTTGCAGGAGCGGCGGGAGCAGGCGTTGCCGCCTCGCTCGTTGCCACTGTTGCTGCTGCTCGTGCTTTCTCCTTCGTTTCTTTTTCCTTCTCCTTCTTCTTCGCTTTCTCCCGCTCCTTCTTTTCTTTTGCTTTGTCTTGTTCGCTCTTATCCCCATTGTTTGGTTTCGCTTTTTCTTTCGCCTGGGCTTTTGGCGCCGCATTTGCTGCAACACGGTTGTTACCTCCTGCTAGGGCCTTACTAATGGACGCCGTGTTTTCCTCTAACTGGGCAATGTCGACAACATCCACCATCTTACCGTATAACCACTCCCACGTCCTCTTGCTAGAGGAACTGCTCGAGTTGCGGAAACGGTCGATGTGAAGGCTCATCAGGGGGTGCCCTTTGAGGTTTTCAAACAAAAGGGACCGAACAGCATTGTCACTGGGCCTCTCTGATGGCTCCAACGCTTCCCATACAAAGTCAAAACGTTGCCTGAACTCTATCAGACCCTTGACCTCCGAACCCTGCACTGTAAGCGACAACAGGTGATGTTGCGTGAGGGCGGTACCACGATCCTTTTCCAAACGAAACCGCTGGAACACAACCCACAAAAGCAACCTCCCTTTGGGCTGTTTGCCGTGCTTCTGGGCTTTCTCTTGAAGGGACTGAAACTCCATAGAGAACTTGGTGCCCCGAGCATGTTCCAACATACGGTGGCCAAGGATTCGATCAAGTAGAGGATAATGTCCGGAGTCATCAAACGAGGATGCGCATGTTGCATCATTGCATTTGGAAATCCAAGCCAACAAAGGGGTTTCATTACCTTTGGCTAGCTTCGTCACTGCGCTATACAGGTGATTCCTAAACCCCCTAAATTCAGATGCGGACTTCGGGAGCGCCGCAATCTTCAGTGAGTCGTACTGCTTGGTTCTCATAAGCTTTCGTTCCTTCTTGTATGCCCCATCTGAGCCCGAGCTAGACGACGATGAGCTGGAACTTTTGCTGGTTTCCGAGGCGTTGCCGCCTTTCCTCCCTTTACCCGAACCTGATCCACTCGAGTCTGAGCCTGACGAGTCCGAGGGGGGGCCTGGAGGCTTTGCAATCGCTGATCCCGGATCCGAACCCGCAACACTACTTGACCTCAAATACCCCCTTGATGTGGCGCCTGCACCCTTGAGGCTTGCCGGAGGGGCGTTGCCGCCGCCAGCCGGGCTACCTCCAGAGATTGAAGCGACAACGTTGGCAAGGGAGGTGATTTGTGCCGTGATCACGTCCAATTGCCCCTGAATCCCTGGGTCTATTTGGGCCCTGGGAGTGCTGATGGCTTAAATGTCGGGCACTGGAGGTAAAGTGCCACAACTGGTTTTGGTTTCGGGGCCACCTGTGCCCTCGTTTGGGGGCCTCTTCGGGGGGTCAAAGGTGGTGCTAAAAGCAAAACCACCGGGCGTCTTAGGAACCTCAGGGCTACCAAGGGGCATCAACGAGGTTGCGACCGCTGTTGGAAGGATCTGTTGAGCTTCAACCCCGGAGCCCGGAGGCTTCACTAAGGGAATTGCGTTGGTTGATGACGTGGCCTCAGTCCCTTGATGTTTCCCTGGGGCCATTCCCGCGCCATTACTAGGGCTCATAGCTTGCGACCTTTCGCTCTCCAATCTGTTGATAACACATTTCTGCTTTTCAACCACCTCAATCAACCCTTGAATTTGAAGCTGCATTCTCTCAAAGTCACTCTGAGCAAAGGTAAGCATGTGTTCGCTTTGTTCTTGGGACCTTCTAGCCTCTGCTGCTATTTGCCTAGCCCTTTCAACCTCCCTTTCAGCTGACGCCCTTGATTGATCAACCTCCTGAGAGGCTCGCTGCAACACTTCAAAGGTATGCCTACGGACCTCTTCTTGGGCTGAGGCTCGGGTAGCTTCAATCTCACGGGATGCTTGATTGTAGACTTCTTGAGTTTGTCTACGGGCGAGGTCTACTTCAACAGCAGCTTGAGCGACTACCAACGGGTCAGCAGTGACGCTTAGGTTGGCTTGGTTGAATTGGAGGTGTTGGTGAATACTCCGATGATCTTGCAAGTCTTGTCTCACAAAAGTACTTTCAACATTCTCATGACGATGAAGGTGCAGTGTTTGGCTTACGACTTCAGTGACCGGTTGCATCACGGAATCGCTGGAGGATGATTCGGGAATAGGGGTTGATTCGGGAGGCGATCCCAGGAAACTGCTGAGATGCATGGGGGAAGGCGTTGCCGCCATACCCTGAGGTGCCACAATCGTATGCGCAGCTGGAACCAATGCTTGACTGAATCCACTATCCCCTGGAGAAACCGAGCCAGAATTCCCTGAACGACTTCTCGCATCAAACTCTGTCATACTCTGCTATTTCCGCAATCCACCCTCGCACGTATGGGCCAAAGTCCTCTAAGAACTCCTCCCAGTGAACGTTCAAGACCTCCTGTACCCAATCACGCTTCGGCAGAGCAATGTGGGCAGCAGCGATGTTGGATGTAACCACCTCCTCTACGATTTCGGCGTTATCGTCCAGGAGGAGTCTGTGCCCTCTAAAGGCTTCCAACACTCCCTTCTTGCCCAGTGATCCGGTCTTGCTTGTGGTGGCAATAAACGCTGCAAAAAGACTGGATGCGCCCGGAGTCGATTCCAAGGTACGCAAAGCGTCCTGCAACTTTTGCTGGTCCACCACGTAGGATAAAACAAAGATCTCAGCACCTGCTGCCTTGATATCTCTGAGAAAATCCAATGTGGGAGCGCAAAGGCCGCCGTTCGGAGTGGATCTTAGCCAACGCCCTGATGGGCCCCTGCACCTGTTGAGAACCTGGTGCCAATCCAAGAAGACCTGGGCAACTGTGCGATCACCTGACCTCCGCAGAATACGCGCTTCCTGTAAGCTGTCCCCTTGCCACAACCAAAATCGGGTCGTATCCGGCAACAATACAGAGTACGGCGCGTTCACGATTACACGCTGCAATGGCCTGGCTTTCGACTTAACTGCAGTTTGCCTGGGCGATCTCTCCCGGGATGCAACGGAAATTGTCTCCAAAGAGTCGGGAACGACACCTGAGGAACTCGCCTGCTCAGGCTCTGCCTCTGATTCGAGTTCAACGTCAGCAGAAGGCTCTGCGCTGGAAGCAATGTCCTGCACCGAGAATGGTTCGAGCAACGACGGATCGTGTAGCAACTCAACGCTGCGCTTGCCGTACGCTTTTAGCGCCTCTGCAAGGGAGTCGCGACTGACCTGGCCCGAATCCAAAAACTTTTGGAACTCCTTGGCAATTTTGGTCTTCACCTGTAAGCCACTCTGTCCTCCACGTTTCACGCTGAGGTTATTCCAAATGCAATCGTCAATATCCAAACCAGCCGGCTTGGCCCAGCGCCCTTCCTCGTTGAGGCGTCCAGCCGTGTTGGGCAAAAGACGCTGAAGACAAAGCGCGGGGTGCAGAAAGCAGGGGAACAAGTGGTCAAACTTGGTGGGGTTTGATTGGGAGCTAAGCCGCAGGCGAACCTACGGCTGATAACCAGATGAAACTGGCAGAGCAAAGAGGTTATGGCGTGCACTAAAGCAACGCACAACTTTTACTTGAGCCAAATGGTCAGTTTCGTTCGAGGTTTGTGAAACATGTTGCTGCTGAGCACTCCTGCAAATTATGTTGAGGGTGCTTTAAAGATGGTTCCTATTCTGCCCTTGGCTTCCTCCCATGCGTTGCCGCATTGGAATTCGGCCAGCTGTACTTGGGCAGGCCTTTTTAAGCCTATACCATCTACTTCTATTTATGAAAACTCAAAGAAACATGAAACATAATATCTTGTTATCAAGGTTCTAAGGGGAGTATAGAAACCCTAAACCCTGCATTGGGGCGCGTGGGCCGCGAAAGAATCTAGGCGCGAGATGATCCGGGATGTTCTAATACTGACGGCCCTGATGCGGCTGGCTTAAAAAGAGAAGTTAAAACGCCCCCAAAATGTTTCGTTGAAGAATGAGAATTATACTTAAGCCCTACTACGACACCTTATCTGCAGTGACTTTTGTTGGCAGGGGTGGGGTATCCATTTTTGTCGGGTGGGACAGACTGAACCCTGGACCCTTTGTTTCTAAGGATCCTAAAGAAAACCCCAAGAGTATCGTAGGAAATACAAGGTCCAAGGTAAATTTCTACTGCATTTTGGGATGTTCCCCCTTATACTGTTCATAAGAAACCCAAACAGGGAATCCCAAGAGTATAGTAGGAATACAAGGTCCTTGGTAGGTAAACTCCTATTACATTTTTGGGATGTTCCCCCTTATACGAACAGTTGCTAACAGACCATAACAGAGATTGTAGCAGCCCCTCTTACAATTCCTATGAAGGACTGCCAGTATAAACCCTAAACCTTACACCCTAAACCCGGGAACATCCCTTTCCGTTCCTACTGTGTTCTTGGGGTTTCCTGCTACAGGTTCCCTCAGGTTCTCCGGGTGATCGACGTCCGGGCTGAACGCTGTGGGTTTAGGGTTTAGGGTTTAGGGTTTAGGGTTTAGGGTTTAGGGTGTTCGCTGCAATACGGAACGTTGAGGGCTGTTGGCTGTGAGAGAACCGCCTGTGCCCTGCACATAGCAGCTGAGGCTTTTCCATCGTGCCAAAGCGCTCTTTGGCATCAAGCTTGCCTGGCCTTCATAAAGCAAGTACCCTAAACCCCAAGCTTGAAGACCTTGCAATCGTAAGGGTTGAGAATTGAGTGTTTCGGTCCTACGCCCCTAAAAGCCTGACCTTGGGATGTTCCCCCCGAAACTGACAGTCCGTAGTTAATTCGCCCACATGAACTTTCACGCACTTGTGTGCGGCACTTTGGGATGTTGCCCCTTGTACGAACATCCCTTAATAGGGATGATCATCTGGGGGACTATAATCCTTACTAAGGCCGGTTAGTATAAGGGGGAACATCCCAAATCTGAACTCTAAGCCCTCAAACCGTAAGACCTGGTCTTTTGGGCTTGGCTTCTGCAGATTCCGATGGGAAGCTGCGTAGCAGAGAACAGGGGGCCGTGGGCAAGAACTGCACCAGGACCCAGACTGGGCCCTTGTTCCAGTTTTCAGGGCTCAGGTGCCCTTGAAAGCCCCTTGAAACCAAAAAGGGTGCCCTGTTTCTTCCGCGGCTACTCTTGGGTCTAGACTTCTAAACCCTAAACCCTAAACCCTAGCGCAACGGAGGGTGAAAGCCTCGGGTACTCTTGGGTCTAGTGAGTCCAGTGAAACGGAGGGTGAAAGCGTAACGAGAAATGGACCCCCCAAGTAGCAAAAGCTTGGAGGATGTGATTTCGACAACCTTGGCATGGAACGGTATAGGGTTTAGGGTTTAGGGTTTAGGGTTTAGGGTTAGGGGATTCAAACACAGCTTCATCCTTCCTCTTGTTCGGGAGACTTTGCAAAGAAGTTCCCACTACCCGCCAGTACCCTCAGTACCCATGACAGCATCAGTACAGCCCCCCACAGCGTAAGCAGTTCATGCTTCAATCTTTGTTGGGGTTTACCATTCAGTGCTGCGGGCTTCGGGGTCTTAAGGGTTTTGGGCATCAGTTTCAATTTGTAGCATTTTGCTTTCGGGCGGTACCAAACAACGAAGCATGCTGGAACGATCCGAGATTTCCCCTTTTCGGCCATGCAAGTCACTTGTTTGAGGCTTGCTGAAAGTGGCGCAGAGGAACATCCCAGATTGGATGCACCGACCGTCACTCAACTGACAAGGGGGTCAGGGGCACTCACCCTTTCCGAACTGCAACATGAGGAGTTAGGCTTTTGCCTCGTTCACCGGCATCAAGGGAGTTTTTGCTGCAATGAAAGCCAGACGTCGCAGTTGTGAGCCCTTGTTAGTGGTGAGTTTTGTGAGGCTTTGGTTGTTGCTAGCAATCCTGCTGCTGCTGCTGCTAGGCCAAGAAGATCCATCATCTTACAAATGCACCAAAGTTCAGAGAACTCATCCTCCTGGCACGGACCAAACCCTGAACCGCAAACCGCCAAAGCTCCTGTCTGCTTCTCTGAAGTATTTAAACCCTAAACCCCAAACCCGAAACCCTAAACCCTGAAGCCTAAACCCTAAACCCTACACCGTGTCGGCACTGTCCGCCCCTTGCTCCCGTCGTGGGACTGCTTGAGGTTCCAGATCTTCCTCTGCGATGATGCCAAGACGCTCGGCGCAAGGGGGCTAGGGTTAGGGTTTAGGGTTTGGGGTTACATGCCTGTTTCCCAGCTGATAGTGCAGAGCCTGGGTTCAAAAAAAAGGGTTTAGGGTTTTAGGGCTTAGGGTTTAACTAGGTTTCGGGTAAAAAGGTGATTCAGAGCTCAGGCGCAGGGTCGGGGCCTGATAAGGCCTGCAGTGTTGCGAGAGGCAGGCTTGGGACATGATGTGGCCTAGGGTTGCACCGCGGCTTGATGCAAAGGGTTTAGGGTTTAGGGTACTGCCCGCTTCAGAACCTCCCTCTAAGGGCAGTATTCTTCTTGAACTTTACCTCACCCAGCGGTTCAGGGATAAGGGTTTAGGGTTTACACCCTTGTGGTTCTTGCTGGTAGGGCTCCTGAAACCACCAAGCTGCACTCCAAGAGGCCCAATTCTTTGAATTTCCGTAGGGAAAGAAACCCCTTAAACCGTGTCGAGGTTGCTCCTCAGAAAGGGCCATGGGTCTAAACCCTAAAACTTAAACCCTAAACCCTAAACAGTGTTCTCACCAAAGCGGCCCAAGAGGAACATGACGCGCCTGCTGCGCGGTGCGCTTTACCTGGGTCTGGCCCTGGCGGCGCACACGGGCATGCCTCCTCGGCCCAGACAGGTACTTGGAGGTTTAGGGTTTAGGGTTTAGGGTTTAGGGTTTGGGGACTTCTTATCCAACTATAACTGTACTTACAACCCACTTACAAGCCTCTCAAGTGCCCGAATATGGTTGTGAACCTCCAAGTAGTGGGTTCCTGCAGTTGCCCTTCGGAGCAGTTGAGTTGGGGCAACGAGAGCCATAAGAGGGCCATAACCGTGTTTCGGATACTTATAACCCGACTTTCACAAGCCTGAGCTTTCCGGAAGGGATTGAGGAAGAGGCTCAGGCCTTAAGCGTATGTAAGCCCTCCGACGGTGTTTCTTGGCTCGGCAGAAGGAACAGGTGCATCTAAAGCCTGTGCGCTGGCAACAAACAAGTGTCTCCCAGTCGTCCCGAAGTTGTTATGTTGGCGGGTGGCTAAAAACAAGTGAAACAAGTAAGCACATCAAATGCCCAGTTGTGCTGCGGGATTTGTTTTTACGTTTCCATTCTTTCCTTATAAGGGAACCTCTTCGTAAGTAAGTTTCAAAGGGTTTAAGACAGAACTCATAATGTCCCAGAGGGCTCATCATTGGCAACATTTGACAGAGAGAACATGTCCAAGAAAATCTCCATTGGCACCATTTTGAGGAAAGAGTCCGAGGGTTTAAGCCCTAAACCCTAAACCCTAAACCCTAAACCCTAAGCCCTAAACCCTAAACCCTAAACCCTAAACCCTAAACCCTAAACCCTAAACCCTAAACCCTAAACCCTAAACCCTAAACCCTAGCCCTAAACCCTAAACCCTTTTCGGGCTAACTCGGCGAAGCCCAGCCTTGAGGTTCCTGGTTCCGACTGATGATGACTCGGAGGATGGGACAGGGCTTCAGGGGCCTGCTTCAGCGAGGGCCGAGAGGGTTCAGGGTTTAGGGTTTAGGGTTTTAGGGTTTGGGGTTTGGGAGATACTTGAATCAAAGAGAAACCTTTCGGATCCCTAGTTTTTGTTCCCCAGGTTTGCTAGCTTCTGCAACCTTCCTTGAAGGTTCATGGGTAGTGCTAAGTAGGGTTAATCCCTTCCCCCTAATATTAAACGGACGGTCCGCCCCCCCCCCCGCCCCTTTAAAAGTTCGAAATGTGCTTTTATCATTTGGGGGGTGTTCTCATCGAAATGTCGCAATATTAGACTTCAGGGTTACTCAAGTAATGAAGTACTTAATTGTGCTGTACAGAGAGAGACAGGAGACAGAGAGAAGGGGAGAGCTCAACTCTCGCAGCACAGCGAGGCTCAGACAGAGCTACTGAGACACACACACACACACACTCACTCACTCACTCGCTCAGTCACTCTGTCTCTCACTCGCACACACACACACACACACACTCACTCTTTCACCCACCCAGACCACTCAGACAGACAGAAGACTGCCACACAGGTAAGTAGCCTAGAGACTGAACCACCCCCCCCCCCCCCCCCCCTAATTCGGAATAGGGTTTAAACGGCGGAGTCGGTTTCGGCAGGATTTTCCGGAAAGTGTTTTTATTGTTAGGGGGGTCTTTAATAAAAGGGGGAAGGGATCATAAGAGCCCTGATTAAATAAGACTGGAGCCGGACATATCCCACGAACCTCCAAGCAGCCGTAAACCCTAAACCCTAAACGCCATAAACCTTCAAGTAGAGTCCAAGGAATTAGCGCTCAAGAGTCTAGATGCAAAGAAGCGTTCAAGCGCTTTTGTTTTTTCGGTTTGGGGTTCCAGGGTCTCTTAGTTGAAGGTTGAAAAGGTTTGGGGCTTTTGGATTTCGCGTTTAAGGGAATGGGCTTTTGCACAAAATGTTTGGGGGTTAGGGATTTTGGGGTTTCCGAAAGTAGGGGTACCTTTTTGGGGTCCTTATTATAGAATCCGACTATTTGGGGGTCGATTTTAGGAGTCCCTCATTTTCGTAAACCCCTATTTGGGGGGTCTGGATTTATGGTTTAAGGGTTTAAGCTTATACTAACAGTCCTTAATAGGGATTATAATTGGGGGTACGATAGCCCAGGCTGGATGCAAAAGGGGTGGCATGGGGTGATCACAAGTAGTTGGGGGTGTTCCCCTTTAACTAGCAGTCCTTAATAGGTGTTAAGAAAGGGGTGCTGTAATCCCTATTAGGGACTGTTAGTATCAGGGGGAACATCCCAAAGTAGGGTAATGTTAGTCATGATTGGTTATACCGTGCTTTCAGGGCGCTTTTCACCCTACTTATATTATAATTACCCCTGAAGTTCAAGTAGAGTTCAATGGTTTTTGTTGCACTTGCGATAGGGCCGGCATGGGAGCAGGGCGCTGCTGCATCTTAATACTTCCTGCCCTAAAACCTAAAACTTAAACTCGTAAACTCCACAAAGCCCTAAAACCCAAAGGGTTTCGGGTTTACCCTAAACCCTAAACCCTAAACCCTAAACCCTCTCTACCTATGTATATTTAAACCTTAATGGGGTCGTGCTCCCGGTTTGGTCGTTTAGGATTTAGGATTTAGGATTTAGGGTTTAGGGTTTAGGGTTTAGGATTTAGGTTTTAGGATTTAGGATTTAGGATTTAGGTTTTTGGATTTAGGATTTAGGAGGTTAGGATTTAGGATTTGCTTCCCAGCCAGGTCTCAGGGTTTTCCAGGGGCCTCCCAGGGACCTCCCAGGCGCCTCCCAGTCAGAGGTGAAGTTTCAGACCCTCCCAACAGCCTCCCAGACGGGGCCTCGAGGCCCAGGGGCCTCCCAGGGGCCGCGCGTCACGCGCGTCACGCGCGTCACGCGCGCTGGGGTTCCGGGGGGTCCCCGGGGGCCGGCGTCACGCGCGTCACGGGCGTCACGCGTCCTCGCGTGACGGATTTTCGGGCCCAGCGCGCGTGACGTTTGTCACGCGTGCGCGCGTGACGCGCGTGACGCGCGTGACGGTGGATAGGGCTTTTTTTCTGGGATTTTTCGTGTTCGTGCCCGGCGAAATTGGGGTGACCATGCTTGTCTTTTTAGCCACGTCGAAATTTTAGGGGACGTGTTTTTCATGATTTTGCCGGGTCCCGCCGGGCGATTTTCCGATTTTTCGTGTTTCTGCCCCCGTGAAATCGGGGTGACCGCGCTTGTCTTTTGAAGCACGTTGATTTTTTTTGGGTTGCTTTTTGGGTCAAATCAAGATCACAAGAATTGGAAAACTAGCCCTGTGCCACCCCCACACTGTGTGCATTATCCGTGGGCCGAAATGACTATAGACGGTGCCGAATCGAGAAAGAATGTTGCGAGCTAAATGATATAAGTGGGTTGATCACGAATAACTAACGTAAGAAAGAAGATATGTAATTCAGATGAAGAGGGATCTGGGAGGGAGGGGTGATGCCAAACACGTGAGGTGATGACAAAAACCCTTAGTGAATGCACCAGAGATGCTGAACCCTAAACCCTAAACCCTAAACCCTAAACCCTGGTGTTTAGGGTGATGTCGAACTCACAGTGCCCTGAGTCTCAGCCCCTGCCTGACGACTGTCCAGGAGTCCTGCAAGCTCACCTTAGGCCCTGACACCTGAAACCGGTTTAGGGTTTAGGGTTTAGGATTTAGGGTTGAGGGAAACAGATCCTAGCCTCATAAGTCCAGCGACCTTTTGGGGAAACTTCTGTCTAGCCGAGATCGGGCGGCGGGCGGACTTTGCCCTAAACCTGAAACCCTGAACCCTAGAGAGCATGCGCAACTGTGAATCTGTTTGCCCGCGCAGGATGTGGCGACACGTTGGGTTTCCACCCGTGCAGCAATCGTCGCTTACACGCTCGGCCACGAGACCGGAAAGTAAGTGTTCAGGGTTGAAGCGCTTGACCTTCTGACATAGCCCTAAACGCTACAGACGCCACGCCACTAGGGCTTCTGCCTTGAAGAAGCTACCCCGTTGAACCATCGTTTTTTGTCAGTTTTGCAGATTCGCCTGAACCATTTCTGCAAGGATTGGAAAGCACCCTAAAACCTAAACCCCATACCCTAAACCCATAATCCTAAAACCCGAGGCCCGAAACCCGAAACTCCTCTTGGGTTTGCCAACCCTAAACCTTAACTCTAAACTTTAAACCCTAAACCCTACTGGAGGTGGGCTCTACTTCCTGTGCACGGCCACGTGGCTACTGCTGACCATTGCAATTAAGCCTCCTGGCTTGCAACAGTGGCTTTTCTGGTGACCAGGGTTTAGGGTTTAGGAATTAGGGTTTAAGGTTTAGGTAGTACCCTTCTTCCAGTTGTTAAGGCAGAGGAGAGTGGTGGCCCAGTCGTGCCCTTTTGCCCTCTTTTTTGGTTCTAGGCACCCTTCCAAACCCTAGCCTAAACCGTAACCAAAAAACACCCTAAACCCCTACAAAGGCCAAAAGGCACCCTAAACCCTATGAAGGCCGATAAACACCCTAAACCCCTATGAAGGCCAAAAGACACCCTAAACCCCAAACTCTAAACCCTAAACCCCTACCCCAAACCCCCAAACCTGAAGGGCTACTATTGCGAAGAGTCTTGCCAGGTTCCCAATTGCGCGGCACGAAGTGCGCGGCGGGGACTCTTGCCTTTGCTCGACCGTGCTTTTTGGGGGACTCGAAGAATTCGGGTGTAGGGTTTAGGGCTAGGGTTTGGGGTTCAGGGTTTAAGGTTTAGGGTGTAGGGTTTTTGGGGCTATAGGGTTTATGGGGTGTAGGGTTTAAGGTTCTAGCTCTTGAAAGCTTCTCAGGGACAGCGCATCTTCAGGGCCTTTAGGGTGTGCGTACTGGGATTGTCATCCAGGCGATTGCTCTCCCAAACCAAGAGTAAGGCCCTAAAAACACTCACGCTACAGCCAAGAGTTTGGTCCTGAGCTTTGCGCGGGCTGATGGTGAAGGCTTCGGCATGGCTGGGGTTCGCATTGCGTTTGAATGGGGTTTGGCTTGAAAGGCTTCTTTGGGCTTGCAGGGAGCTACCCCTCGCTACAAGTAGGTGCATTGGACCCCGCCCTGTGGGGCATTTTTGACAAAGCAAAGTCCCAAAAACCCTAAACCCTAAACCCTTAACCCTAAACCCTAAACCCTCCTCAGACCCTAGACCCTAGACCCTAGACCCTAAACCCTAAACCCTAAACCCGCACCCTATACCCTAAACCCTAAACGGAGCCCAGGAGACCATGCCCGAGTTGTTTTACAGCATTTGGGCGCCGCCTGGGCTGCACAGAGCTTCTCCGCACTGGCTTCAGGATTGAAACAGCAGCTTAGGGTTTAGGTTTAGGGTTTCGGGCTAGGAGTCAACACCCCTTTCTAGATATTCAGGCCCCTATCTTAGTGTAGGGTCTTGTTGTTATGTAATGAATCAGTACATGATAGAGCTAAATAGATTCTGTATATACATGTAATATATGGATATTCTTTAATTCCTTGGTATATTTTTACGCATACATACTCGTGCATGTACATACATGAGCTTGAGATGGAGTTTCCGTTTTCCCAAAATGCCGGACACGGGTATTGCTTTGTGTTTGATAGCGTTGGACGTGTCGTATATGAGCAATTCTCTTCATTAGGGTCCTGTATATATAGGACCCTAAAAGGGATCCACATTTAGAGAGCGGCTCATGTAATAAGGCGGCGAACTTCAAAGACACTCCATAGTTTGGGGGCCATCAGACAGGAGCTTTAAAACACCTCACAAAGGAAGAGCCCAAGACTACCCTGCAGGCCACTAGCCCAAGACTCCAACCCCACCCCCACCCCCACCCCCCCACCGCCCCCCCCCCCCCCCCCCCCCCCCCCCCCCCCCCCCCCCCCCCTTCCCCGCCAACACCTAACTTGCATCCTTTGACCCCACGACGCCATGACACCGTGGCTCCCCAAATCCTGAACCCTAAACCCTCAACCCTCTAACCCTAAACAATCCCTAACCCTGAACAACCCTATACCATCCGAGAACACTTGCGTCCCAGAGACCTGGGAGGATCCACAAAGAAGATCCCCTTTCAGGGAATAGTAGCAAAGAGTATCCTGAACCCCAAACCCCCAAACCCTAAACCGCGACTTAGGGGCTCTACTACAGGGAACGTCCCAGGGGTCTGGGAGAGTTCTTGAACCCAAAGACGACTCTAACCCCAAAAAACCCTAAACCCTAAACCCTAAACCCTAAACAATCCTAAGTCCTAAACCCTAAACCCTAAACCCATGAGAACACTTGCATAGTTCTTGGGCCCAAGCTTGAGATGAAAGGCTTTGGAAGCTGCTCTCCGAAGGCCACGTGGCCTGGAGGTGCCTTGAGAAAAGCATTGAAAAAGTAGGGTTTAGGGTTTAGGGTTTACTGTAGGGTTTAGGGTTTAGGGTTTAGGGTTTAGGGTTTAGGAGGTTTCTCAGGTTAAGACTGTAGCCCTCAAGGCTTCCAGGGTTGAAGGGTTTAGCCGTGCTCAGGGCTTGCAGGACCATCTTGGGTGGGGCGCGCTAACCCCAACCCCTAGAGACCATGAGACATACTGTGCCTGGCCTGTCCGAGTGTGAGCGATTAAACCCCAAAGCCTAAACCCTAAAGAATCAAATGCAGTCTTCTGGCTCCCAGGCTCACCAGCCCCTTCCCAACACGGGTTTGGGGTTTAGAGGGTCCGGGCAGTAGGGTTTTGGGGTTCAGGGGGCTCATTGTTGCTCTTTGTAGGGTTTAGGGCTAGGCGTCCGGCCAGAGTCTGTTGCACAAGGGATCTTAGAATTTAGTGCCCTGGTAGACTAGGACCCGGAGTAGGCCCTTATGTCCTTTTTGTAGGGTTGAGGTCCCCTTAAAACCCAAAACCAAACAGGGCGCCCTGTTTATTCCTAGGCTACTTCTGGGTCCTGGTCGAAGAGGGGTTTTGGGCTCCAGGAAGGGGCGCATGGTTGCAGAGTTCCTTTTTCCTGTTGGGCTTCGGCGCTTCTGGCTCAGGGCTTTGCCCAAGTGTACTACCCCCCCCCTCTACCCCCTTACATAAACCTGAATTAGGCTTAAGTATCCCTATCTAGGCCGAATTCTGGGGCGAACCTAGGGGGGTAGCATCGAGGAGGGGTAGTAGTGCCCCCTCTTAGATAGCTAATTAGGGAACCTAAGGAGGATAGTATAGAGGGGTCATATAGGTGCCTGAATGATTACTAATAGAATTTTCCCTGAGGGCCCCTTTGTACTTATACTGTTACCCTAAACCCTACACCCTGCAGGCCCCTATACTAGTCGGGGAACCCAGGAAAGTAGTTAGGCCATTTTCGAAGGCAAACGCTGTACACCCTTTGTGAGGCCTACACTGCGCTGGGTTTAGGCTTTAGGGTTTAGGGTTTAGGGTTTAGGGTTTAGGGCTATCGCTTCCCTGGCTTCGACTCCTGGAGCCGGCTTGCGCCAGGTTCCTGTTGCTCTGCTGCTGCGTTTTCGCCTTCCTCCTCCGGCCTCCTGACATGATTTTGCTGAGGAATTTGTTTTTTTTTAATGTTTTTTTTGTTTTGGGTACTTTTGGGCGCTATAATAGATAAGAAACAGCTAGAATTCAAAATGTTTGGTAGGGTTTCAATTTCAGTCAAGTTTGGGGTGCCCATAGGGTTGTCTTACTGGTTCTTCGTGCGGTCTCAAGGTGAAATGTCTAGGGTTTAGGGTTTAGGGTTTAGGGACATTTCCCCTGAACACACGGAACCTCGGATCCGTAAGGAGCTTTTGCAGAACCAGCTAGTTCAGAGTATCTTTCGTAACCAGCTGCCCTAGCTATCTAGAAGAAACTAGCAAGCTTAGGGTGTTTGGGAGAGCGCAGCAAAGAGTCTGAAATGCACTGCACTGATCTCCGGAATCGGAGCCAAAATATGTAAGATTGGAACCAGTCCTTGTCACCAAGCATCCAGCACCACAGGAATCGGCCTAGAGTAATATCTGGCTTCGCAAATGAGATGTGACGTGTTGCGTTTTCTGAACCACTTTACTACGAATTGCTAAAGAACCCCCCCCCCAAAAAAATATCATAATAATTAATAATAATAATAAAACTATTCTTCCTTATTAAGGGTAATATAGGGATCATTATTTGTCATTCTTTTGGGGTTCTTAAGCAAATAAGAGTTTAGGAGGGGAGGCCATAGAACGGCGCAATATCCCCGCTAAAGGCCGGTCGATCAGGAGACGCACGGATGTGGGGTGTGACCACCTGTGTACGTACTTGTTATTCATACCTGCTGCAAGTCGATGATAGACCCCAAACCCCCCCAAACCCTAAACTACCCTAAGTCCTAAACCCCTAAACCCAAAACCCCTAAACCCAAAACCCCCTAAACCCCTAAACCCCAAACGCGTGACACGCGCGCAAAAGCTTGGCAGACCCGCGAGGCGCTACTGGCTCCTCTGCTTCATCCTGATGGATTTCTGGTGTCAAAGCTCAGTGCTGGCGACGGCGCCTGGGACAAGAGACCATACTTAGGGAGTACACCTTCATCTCTATCTACAGGTTGTTTTTGAATACGATATCTCTATAGAAAGTTTCTTCGTGTGTTGGCATACTTAGCACCTGCTTGGCACGAAAAGAAGATTGTCTATTACTATCTTAAACCCTAAACGCCCTGTAGGGCTGAGTGCTTCAAGTTCACGAACAGTCCTTAACTGAGATTATAGTACCCCCTAAACCCTAAACCCTAAACCCTAGACCCTAAACCCTAAACTCTACACCCCCTACTAGAATCCCTATTAAGGGCTGTTCGTGGAAGGGGGAACATCCCAAGTGTCGAGGTTGCTGCGAGGAAGGCTTCCGGAGTAGGAACTCAGGCCGCCGAAGCCTGGAAGACCAACGAAAACTCGAACCCCTCCAGGGTTTAGGGTTTAGGGTTTAGGGTTTAGGGTTTAGGGTTCAATCCCTGTAACACCCCAGCCCCAGCCCTAAACCCAAAACCTCAGAACCTAAACCCCTTTAACCCTGAACCCTACAACCCAAAGCCTCAAAACCTAAACCCCTTTAACCCTAAACCCTAAAACCCAAACATCAACACCCAAACCCCTTGAGCCCAAAACCCTAAACCCTAAGCCCGAAACACCCCTAAACCCTAAACCCTAAACCCTAAACCCTAAACCCTAAACCCTAAACCCTAAACCCTATAGGCTCGGCAATCCTAAGCCTTTCGTGAGGTCTTCCGCGCGATTTGCGCCCCACTGCGGTCCCTGGCCATGACCTTCCTCGGGCGCCTTGGATTCAGAGCCAGGCTTGTGTTTCAGGGTTTAGGGTTTTGGGGGTTTAGGGTGTTAGGGATTTAGGGTGTAAGGGTTTTAGGGTTTTAGGGCCAGGGTTTTAGGGTTTTAGGGTTTAGGGTTTAGGGTTTTAGATTCTGAACTCTTATTCCTCAGTGAATCAGGCGGTTGCGGGCACTCCCATTTACACTTTCATGGGGTGGCCAAAGGTCCCTCGCAGGCTTGACGTTTCGATGCCTAAAGAAAGAAAGAAACAAAGAAAGAAAGAAAGAGAGAGAGAGAGAGTGAGCCAGGATTTAGGGTTTAGGGTTTTAGGGTCTTAGGGTTCAGAGTGTGAGGTTTAGGGTCCGGCCTCAGTTCCGGGTTCAGAGGGGTTTAGGGTTTAGAACGGTTTTTGGATGGGGTGAACAGGGTGGAAAGGGTGTAGGGCAGCTGAGTTTGCAGTAGAGAGGGACAGGGAGGCAGAAGGAGAAATGGAGAGGGTTTAGGGCTTGGAGTTTAGGGTGCTAAGCTGCAAATCTTACTCAGCAAGCTGAACCAATATATATTTTGAACAGACAGTTTCGCAGAAATAGCTAAAACATCAGTAAGTTGGGGGAAAATTTTGGGCCAGTGACATGTACGTTCATTTGTAGGATGTTGGGTAACATTTTTTACATCTTTAAGGGTACTTTTAATCCAATAAGGAGTAATGTAAATTTAAAAGTTTAATATCATCCGAACCATGAACTAGCTAACCCGAAACCCTAAATACACAAGAGGAACGTCATTGAAGTGAACTAGTATACGCACCTCTTCAATCCGGCGCCTGCTTGGATCCTCTAGTACCACGCGCGTGTGAATGTATCAGTTGAGAAGAAGCAATAACCCAATCGAATGCACAGGTCGCTAGAGGAGCTGCGAAGAAGGGTTTAGGGTTTAGGGTTTAGGGGAGATCTGGGGATGGTGGGCTGGGGATTGAAGCATTTCTGAAAGGGATAAGTCTTGTCTTTGTAGTTTGTTTTGATAGAATTTTGCGTTGTGCAACATCTGAATCTTTTCCAAACCCATCATACAAGCATTGTGTTTTCTAACCCCTCCGCGATGTTTTCAGCCGCACAAGCTAGCTGGAAGCATACGAAACCTTTCCAAACCCCATCATGCGAGCATTGTGTTCGCAAATGGAGTGGGGGGGGGCTGCAGCCCCCCCTGCCCCCCCGCAAATGGGGCAAGCGGCAAGCCACCCCTCGCTTTTCCAGCCGTGCAAGCTTGCTTCAAAACATATGAAACACATGGAACCCCATCATGCGAGCATGAGCCCCCCCATCAGCTGGCAGAGAAATGTGCGTCTGCAATAGCTTGAAGTGCCCTTAACTTCTGAGCTGTGAGAAATGCTCTCGTTCACAGCTTCTGCAGCGTAGGTGGAGTCAGAAAGACTGTATTTTGCTGCAGTTTGGAGCTTGGCAGGTGGCAGCAATGCTGTCCTTTGCAGCAGTTGCAACTTGTGAGCTGTTACAATTTGCGGTATTTCAACAAGCAACTGCAGCGCATGAGGAATCAGAAATGCAGTATTTTGCCGCAACTGACGCTAGTATGTTTTTTTCAACGCATCTTTTGCATATGAGGAGTCAGAAATTCATGTATCTGGCTGCATGACGACCACATTTATTTTGTTGAGAGCTCTTAATGTATTTGGATTTCCACTCCTGTTTGGTTTGTGGAATCAGATTGAAGTGTTAAGTTTCTTCTGACAGACATGTATGTCGTTAACCGGAATCCTTGCGGAGTGGTTCATCCAGCTATGCGGGCGCCAAAAAACTCTGTCTGCACCTCAAGCCAGTACCCGTGAGTGCGAGGATGACGCAGCCGCAGTAGCTTGCTTTTGACATTGGGGTTTAGGGTTTAGTGTGACGAACCAAGCCCGGATGCAAATGGGTTGAGTGTTTAGGGTTTAGGGCTACGGTTTAGATGCAGGGTGGAAGGTTTAGAGCTTATAGAATCCACTTAGGCTGGTGATCATCACCTTTGTCTATGCGGGCATCGGCTTTCGCATCTTGACAGGGTTTGCCTGGCTTTCCTCGCCCAACCACCGTAAACAGGGGTAGACGCGCTATTTCTTAGATTTTCTTACCGCTATGTCAATCCCCTATAAAAGTCCTTAATAGGCCATCAAATGTAATTTTTGCTCCCAAACCTGCCCCGGCAAACCCGCCCCGGCAAACCCTAAACCCTAAGCCCGGAATCTTGAGCCTGCTTCGACGCAGCCTTGCAGATCCCTTTTTGAGGGATTGGTGGCTGAAAACCCTGAACCAACCCTAAACCCTAAACCCTAAACCCTAAATTGAGGTTCTGTTGTGAGCACGGCTTCGCGATTCAGGCTTGATTCACGGCTTTGTGCATGGTTTAGATTCAGGGTGTGGCAGGGTGTTGGTACCGTAGTTGGGCTGGGCCGGGCAGTCTCCCAGTCTCGCATGGCGTTTTCGCATTGAGAGTTTAGGGCATGTTCATGCTGTGAATGTTTCAAGGATACTTCCGAGATGACTTTCACCACTTCTGCGACGAGAACATTGTGACGTGCACAGAGACACCAGTGTGCACTGCAGCAGCTTGTTAGTCGTGCCGGGTTTGTCGGGGTTCATGTTTGGTGTGTTCTAGTAGCTGAGTGGATAGCCTTTAACCTTTTGGGGTCGGCAACGGGGGTGCGGCGTCAAATACGCAAGATTTTGTTGAACTCCGCCAGTTGTGTGGTCCCTCTTGGCGGGCAAAAGAAGGCTTAGGGTTCTTGTGGTCAGAAAACGCGAAACCCGAAGCCGGGTGGGTAGACATCTGTGGTTCAGTTTTTTGGCGTAGGGATGTTTAGAGGTTTGGGGCTTGGGGCTTAGGGCTCTTCACGTCGCCCTCGAAAGCTCCGAACCCCAAACTCCACACCCTAGAGGCCTAGTGGGGCCACGACATCAGCACATTGTTGAAGTTCTTTTGGGGTTTAGGGTTTAGGATTTGAGAACTGGTTGCAAGGGTTTAGGGTTTGGGGTTTCAATGCCTGAGAGAGAGAGGGAGAGAGAAAGAGAGAGAGAGAGAGAGGGGGGAGAGAGTCAGAGGGTGTAGGGTTTAGGGTAAATGTCTGCTACACCTCAGAAAGCCCTAAAGCAACGAGGAACATCCTATACCAGGGCACGCGCGCCGGCATCGCCTCTTGACTCAGACTCCCAGTGCAGGATGTCAAGCGGGGTTCCATTCCCTTAACCCCAAACCCCAAGCTCCCAACCTTGCACCCTTTGTGATGCTGTGTAGGGCTTTGGGTCACTGATAAGCTTGTCAGCTTTTTCAAGAGGCTACTTTCCTGATAACTTCAGTTTGCCACCAGGTCGCCAAGCAAACAAACTGGGGCTCCCCAAGCCGAAGCAGTGGATTAGAAAACAAGTTTTGAAGTTTCGGGTACTTAGCGGGTTTTTAAGGGACCCACAACCCTAACCCTAAACTCCCTAAACGCTCTAAACTCCCTAAACTCCCTAAACTCCCTAAACTCCCTAAACTACCTAAACTCCCTAAACTCCCTAAACTCCCTAAACTCCCTGAACTCCCTAAACTCCCTAAACCCTAAACTCCTAAACCCTAAACGCCTAAACTCCTAAACCCTAAACAGATTTTAGGGCATCAGGTCGGCCTCAGCCTGATGCTGAGCTCCACGAAGCCCGGGAATCCAGATTGGACGGAGCGGATGATGTACGCCCGGGGGCCCAGCACAGAGGGGTTGGGGTTTAGGGTTTAGGGTTTAGGGTTTAGGGTTTAGGGTTTAGGGTTTAGGGTTTAGGGTTTAGGGTCTAGGGTTTAGGGTTTAGGGTTTAGGGTTACTTGGAAGTTCATGGGTAGTTGGGTCATAAGTAGCAGGTTCATATATTTCGAGTCACCCTGCTTGCATCCTGCACATAAGTACCAATGAACCTTCAGGTAGTATCTTGTATAGGGAGTACACTCCTGAAACTCTGCTCGGGATCCTTGAGTTTCTGATTCTTGTGTCGTGCTCGGACACCCCGCGTGCCCCTTGTTCCCTGTCTGATACCTTACGAGGCCCCGTCACGCAAGAACAGCGAGCTAGTTGCTAGTCCTGTCTAGGGTTGACAGAAGGACATCCAGTCTTCAGTTGAGGTTTAGGTTTAGGGTTTAGGGTAGGTTCGTCGGAGGTCCAGGGCAGGTGGGCTTAGGGTTTGGGCGGGGTGAGTTCTTCGGTTGTTTTGTCGAGATCACGGTCTGTAAGACGGCCCTTGCAGGACATGAGCTACTTCATCATCTTCGGCGTCATCGTGTTGAACACCATTGCCGCCCGGATGCACGATGGGTAGCCCTGTAACCCTAAGTCCAAAGCCATAAACCCTTGAAGGAGCATCTTAAGGGAGGTTATGGGCCCCTTGGGTTCTATGGGGTATATATATATATATATATGAATATAGAGGCGTATAGAAGGGTTCCCCAATCAAGGACCCATGTCACAAGGGAAGCTACATGGCCCCTTAAGATGGTCCCTTACCTCCTTAAAGGGTTCTGAAGGATGGTCCCTTGGGTTTTACAGGAGGGTTCCCCATTAAGGGCCCCTGTTAAGGGACCATGGTTAGAGAACAGCTTCGCGACGGGACTGTAGGTGCTGGGGGCTGTAGGGTTTAGGGTGAAGGGTGGGAGCTCCGTACCGGGTTAGGTTCTTTCAAGACGTTGTGCTGTCCTCTGAAACTTGTTCCCCGCAGTGCGGTTCTTGCTGCTTGGCGGGTGGCAACAACATCCGTATACTTGGTGTCAGCTTGGGGTAGCTGTTAGTTCCCTAATTGGTTTGATTAGAGACCTATTGGTAAATCTTTTTTTGGTGGCACCTTTAAACCTACCACCTGGTTACAAATCCTATTCCAGAACAAAGGCGGGAAGTCTGAACTTTTCAGAGGTCAGCCATCCTAAGCATACTTTAGGAGGATTCTGAGCCTAGCTCTTCTTTGACTCCCTAAACCCTAAACCCTAAACCCAAAACCCTAAACCCCCCTAAACCCTCCATTTGTTAAAAGCATACTTAAGAAAGGCCTTTCCCGACCTGTGGGCCCCCAAGAACTTGGTAGCCCAGTGGTACCCTTTACCGGGTTTAGGGTTTAGGGTTTAGGGTTTAGGGTTTAGGGTTTAGGGTTCTGGGTTCCCTTATAAAGTAGCCAACCAAAAAGGGCACCCTCATTAGCATTTTCGCTTCTGGGCCACGAAGAGAAGATGCGAAGCCAGAACCCGAACCCTAGGTTCAAAGACCCCCGAACACACCAAGGCCCTCAGACCCTCAACGCTTAGGGTTTAGGGTTTAGGGTTTAGGGTTTAGGGCTACACCTCAGACCAGTGGCAAAAAGGGTTTAGGGTTTAGGGTTTAGGGTTTAGGGTTTAGGGTCATTTCCCAAAGTAGGGGTACCCTGATATACCCCCAAATACGATAGTCCTTATCCTGGGACGGGCCCCACCCCCCTCAAAGGGTACCCCTGTCTTCGGAAACCCCCATAGGCCTTAAAACCTAAACCTTACACCTAAACCCTGAACCCCAAACCCCAAACCCCAAACCCTGAACCCTGAACCCTGAACCCTAAACCCTAAACCCTACCTTAAAACCTTTGACCTTACACCGAGCTGTGAGGTGGGTCTAATCGTGGACTCCTTTGGTGCCCTACGCCCCTTGGATCGAAGAACTCGGTGGAGGGTTCAGGGCTAGGGTTTAGGGTTTAGGGTTTAGGGTTTAGGGTTTAGGGTTTAGGGTTTAGGGTTTAGGGCTTCGGGTTTAGGGTTGAGGGTTTAGGGCTTAAAAGGTCTCCGATAGCTTGGAGGTTCGTGCGTGCTTGTAACTGCGGGTGCTACGCAATAAGTAGGGCAAACAAATTTCTTGGGTACTTTTGTAGGGTACTCAAAACCCTCAAGGTTTACAGGGCTTATGCCCCCTAAACCCGAAACCACAAGAAGAGGTTAAACCCTAAACCCTAAACCCTAAATCCTAACCCTAAACCCTAAACCCTAAACCCTAAACCCTAAACCCTAAACCCTAAACCCCAATCCGAAAGGGAGCTTATGCCCCCTAAAGCCTAACAAGCCGGAAGCCTCCCGAGCTGCTTTGAGTCTACGGGGGCCTCACCTAGACAGCGCTATATAACACTTTGCACCCTAAACTCAAAAGCCCTGAATCCCAAAATCCCAAATCCTGAAACCACGAAACCCTAAAACCCTGAAACCCTGAAGCTGCAGGCCTCAAATGCTAGGGTTCAGGGTGGTCTCGCGAAAAGCCTTCCTGGTAGATTAGGGATCTGGGTTTAAGATTCTTTAGGTGCCACCTGAAACCCTACACCCTAAGGCCTAAAACCTAACCCTAAACCCCAAACCCTAAACCGTAAACCCCAAATTTTTAAACCCCAAACCCTAAACCCGAAACCCCAATCCCCAGGCTTGGACATGGAAGCACGGGAAAATGACCATCGGACGCAGACCTTCATTTCCTGCACCCTGCCCTGCACAGCGGTGCGGGCTTAGGGTTGGGGATGTGTTGCGGAAGCTTCGTAAGCCGAGGGAGGGACCTTAGGGGTCTTTGGGGGGCCATTTCGGGGCTACTTAGGTATATAGGGACTATATAAGGCACATATAGCATAGAATTGGGACCCTTATCTGACTCGTAATGCTTGTGTTTTATCGGTTTAGGGTTTAGGGTTTAGGGTTTGTGTTTTATCAGGGGCCATGGTGGGGTGGAGCAATGGGAACATCACCTGGGGTCCCGTCTTCATCATGGAGACCTACGCGCGATGGGCCTGAACCCTCTATACACCTAGTAGAGTAGGGAACCTTTTACCTTTTTGGGGTAGTAGAATCCCCTTATAATCCCAAAGGTTAACCTTTAATTCCCCCAGGTTACTGGACAACTAAGTTTGCAGCTCAAAATCGTTTTTTGCTTTAGGGTGTAGGGTTTTTGGGCAGTCTCCAATTCCAGCTTCAAAAACTTACGCGTATTTGGTGGGCTTGGGCATGTAGGTTCGATGTGTAGCGACACGCGCTTGCCTGGGATGCCCCCCCCCCCCCCCGATTCTTCACATCTGTCCTCCAAAGGGTGCGGATAAACGTCACGCGAGCCAGACAATGACAACTCATGACAAATGCCCCAAACCATACATCCTCTAAACCCTAAACCCTAAACTCTGAATTCCCTAAACCATGATGATGCGCAGCTGGTCTAAACATCACGACACAGTTCGAGCGTGTAGGTCCACCGCAATCAGGACGCTCTGAGAGCCTGCACCATTGGTCTGCGTGTATGTGTTGGATTTTTATGTCTACAGATGTTCGTCATCTCTCTCGCATCTCGCTCTTAAGGGCAACATGGGATTATTATCTTTTATTCTTTGGGGAAGGGGGGGGGGTTCTGAAGCAAATAGTACATTAATTAGGGCACCCGTTTTTTGGAGCATCCCAGAGTACGACCATACTTCTTCCTCAGGCATCGACAGGCGAAACGTGGAGCAAGTGGCGCAGACGCGGGGCACCGCGGCCACGCGATGGGTTGGCCCTGGCCCTTGCTGTAGGGCACCCTAAACCTGATCGAAAACCCACCCCCCTAAACCCGAATCCCTACACCCTCAACCCGAAAAACCTTAAAGTTTTGTTCAGCCTTGCTCTTGCGTGTGCGAGAGTTTAAACCCCTCAGAAGGGTTGAGCTTGGGCGGGTTTAGGGTTGAGGGTTTAGGGTAATTCTGCGACTAGTCAAAGGCTTGGGGGTGTAGTTGTTTTGTGGGGAGGGGGCTGAGATCCAGGCGGGTCTCAACATTGCAGCACATTTCTTTTTTGGGCAGGCCGCATATAAGCTCCATCTGGGATGGGGTCGAGGTATCGCCGACGGCTTTGACTACCATGAAACGCAGCGACAGAACAAGTGGGCTGCCTGGCGGCAAGCAGCCAGCAGCGAAAGCATGTCTGGAGAGCTATACAGCTGATTTGTGACACGTGCGCATGACAAGCAGATCCACCCTAAACCCTAAACCCTAAACCCTAAACCCTAAACCCCTATAGCACGAAACCAAGTGCAGGATGCAGAATGTTGTGGCTCGAGGGTTCGAAAAACCTGCAGGACTACATGGCTTTCATCTTCCACCTCTGCGAGACAGAGCTGGAGGTGCAACTGTTTAGGGTTTAAGGGTTTAAGGGTTTAAGGGTTTAGGGGTTTAAGGGTTTAAGGGTTTAAGGGTTTAGGGTTTAAGGGTTTAGGGTTGAGGGTTGAGGGTTTGGGCTAAGGGTTTAGGGTTTAGGGCAGTTTAGGGTTTATGGTTTATGGGCTGCAGATGGTAGATAGTCCTGGCTCACCAACTGGAGACCCCAAGGTCTCAAAGCATCTTCAGCTCCCCAATACCAAAAAGCACAGGAGCTGACGGGACCTGAGCATTACATCCGAACCTTGATGGACCGGGGCGACGCTGCTCTGCTGCAGAGGCTTTACTACGATTTTACGACCCCCCCCCCCCCCCCAAACAAAAAGAAAACTACAACTAAAATAATCCCTATAATACGCTTGTAAGGAAGCTTTGGTGAAATTTCTGGGGGTTCTTAAGCAAGTAGTAGTTGAGGGATCAGGCTTAGTGACCCTTTTAAACAGTGCAGCTTAGTGATTGGGAAATATACCCTTTGTTAAGGTACAAGGTTACGCTATGTAAATCCTAAACACCCTGTACTCCTTAAACTCCCTCTAAGTAGACCTTAAGCCTTTTTTTTTTGGGGGGGGGGGGGGGTTAATATCCCTACATAATCCCAAAGGTTAACCTCTAGGCCCCCGCGGGTACTGGACAACTAGGTGAATGTTGAGGTTAGAGCTATTCTGGGTCGTGCTTTGTGAAAATTTTGAGTTTGCCTGCTTTCCTTGACAAGAGAACCTACTCACAAATATGTTTGATTCGGTAACTGATGCTTATGTGCCTAGGGCTTGCCTTTTCTTTATGTAGAGGGCTGGAGTTTAGCGACTGTTGGCAGGGCATGGGTTTCCCAGAGAGCCCGATACCCCTCAAACAAGGAATATGCCTTAAATCATATTCAGGATCCCCATATGATTTAAGGTCTATTCCTTGTTTAAGAGGTATCGGGCTCTTTGGGTTCTTCCTTGTTGTCCAATACTGTCTTTGAATTTCGAACTGCACGAGAGGGGGGCAAGGCACAGGAGACCCACCGTTGCTTGTTGAGTAATATAGGGGTCGGAATCGTTACTGATAGCATTCCCTTATGGTCCCTTCATAGTTAGACTCTAGTGGCCCCCAAAACCATATTATTCCGGCCCCTGCATTAGGGTTTTGGGTTTTGGGACTTGCGGGGTGTTGCCGAGACTGTGTCGATGTTTGGGTTGCAAAACAGGGCGTGCTTGAAGGTCATGGGTAGCTACAAGTAGGGTTATAAGCAACCTAACAATGTTTTTGTTCACTATGTACTCTTGCCCTATGTACAACGACCCAATGAACCTCCAAGTAGGGTTTCGTGAACGAACCTGCGGCTTGAGTCGTGCAACCCATTTTCCTGGACCATCAGTTTCAGTTTAGGAATTTCGGTTTAGGTTACAAGGGTTTAGGAATGTTCTTTTGGGGAGAAGGGCCAGCACTCGATTTTAAAGACGCGCCAAACACGAAATAGTCGTATGGTGTTGGAACAGTTGACTTGATTGCGGACCCCTCGAACACGAGGTGAGCGGCGTGCTTTCTCGGGGGAAGTAAGTCACCGTTCCCATGCCTGATGACTTGAAAGCCAGGAGGTTTCAGGGTTTAGGGTTTAGGGTTTAGGGTTTAGGGTTTAACCTACGTTGCATGATAGTTTTAGCATGCGGGTGGCCGTTAATGACACGCAAATGAGTTGTTTATCCCTTTAAAACTCAAAGGTTTCACCTTACTTCCTCTTCTTTCCCAATTGAAATACTATAGCTCAAGGCCGCAGAACCTAAACCATGTATTTAATCCGACGTAGGCCCCTTACATCTGTACTTGTAACTGGGCGTGGCGGGGGGGGGGGGGGGGGGCGGAGGGCCCTAAACCTTAAACCCCAAACCGTAAACCCTAAACCCTAAACCCCGAGAGTCTTGGAGCCTCCGAGGCCAAATGGATCCCGATCGGCCGGTCCAAGTTCCTGGAGGGCTCCGATATGGGAGTTCGGCCACAGGCAAGTTTCGGTCAGGGTTTAGGGTTTAGGGTTTAGGTTTTAGGGTTTAGGGTTTAGGGTTTCGGTTCAGGGGACTTGCATGGTTTAGGGTTTCGAGTTCATGGGTATTTACAGCAAGTAGGTTAGTTTTTTGGGTGATTTCGGAACCCACCTGAATCTAGAAGCAGAGGGTTTAATTCAGGGTCCAGCTGGCTTTGTCGGCGTTGGTGCTGGGAGGGTTCAAGCCAAAGCTGTTGCAGTGGTTTGGATGGCAGCGTCAGTGCTTAAGACCTAATCCCTAAATTTGGCGGGCTCTGGGATGAGCCACTTGAAGGTTCATGAAGTCGTGATAACTGTAGGCCTAAGTAAGCTTGTAACTATAGTTATTTGTAACCCTGCTTATAACTACCCATGAACACCCAAGCACTGTTCAAGAACTGAGCCGCCAAGCACTCAAAAGAATGGAAGGATCGTTTTCTTCGTATCTCAGAGCAAGCGGAATATCTGTCGCGCTTTGCCACTTGGCGAAGAATGGGCTGCATGTTTGCTGCGTTGAAGATGTGCCTTCGTACGATTCTTGCAGTAGCCGCTGCATGGCTTTTTTTGTCGTTGTCGCTCTAAGGCCCAGAAAGCCTTAAGTCCCTAAACCCTATACCCTAAACCCTAAACCCCAAACCCTAAACCCTATACCCTAAACCCTAAACCCTATACCCTAAACCCTATACCCTAAACCCTATCCCCTAAACCCTAAACCCTCAACCCAGACCCTAACCCTGGTCTTCAGCTCCTTGGGGCACCTGGAGTTTTGAGCTTGCTTGGGGGGTTTTGGGGTTTTGGGTTTAGCGTTTAGGGTTTAGGGTATCCCCCTACAGAGGATGTAGGCGGGGGAAACTTAGGCGGGGGAAGCTTAGCATCAGCTGTGCTGTGGCCAGGGACGCCTTGAGTCAGGGGGGCTCCTGTCGGGAGAAATCCTACGAACCCTAGCGTCGAAACCCATGGGATCCTGTGACCAGTGTGAGTCCGTTTTCCTCGGCTGGCTTGTCTGAGTAGTGAGGGGCGACGGCCCCGTGGCTATAGCTCCCTAAACCGCCTTAAACCCTAAAACCCTAAACAGAACAGGGATATTGAGACTACGTAGCCCTCATGGATATGTAGGGTACTTCTAAGCCTCTTCACCCTACTTGCAACTACCCACGAGCCTTCAAGTAGACCCAGGGCCCCTAACAAAAACCCTAAGCCCAACCATGCCCGAAGAGAGGCGGTTTAGGGTTTGGGGTATAGGGTTGGGATGTTCCCCCTTATCCTAACAGCAAATAAAAGGGATTGCAATAGGGGATACTAGAATCCCTGCAAAGGACTGTGAGTGTAAGGGGAACATCCCAAGTTTAGGTTTTAGTGAGTTTCAGCCCCACTGCCGAGGTCGATGCGAATCAAGACAGTTGGAAGAGCATTTCGAAGTCGATGACGTCCTTAGATATGGCTGTGCGCGACGCTTGGCTGGCTCCAAGTAGTGTGTACCCGGCACTAGGTACGACTGGTTCTGCAGGAAGTAGATACCAAACCCCAAACACATATGCGATTGCAGATGGCTGCCGCGAAAAGGCTTTGAAACCAAAAGCTGACATCTTGATGCGCAGTGCAGCTTCGCTCCTCAAGGGGCTTAAGACCGTTGCCTTTCGGAGAGTCCTAAACGCTTAGAGCCCAAAAGCAGCCACCCAGCATTTACACAAACAACCTTACTTCCCTGATGGTTGTGTTAGTCTTTAAAGTCGTAACAGATCTGTGTGGCCCGTTTTTCAGGCTTGCGACGTCTTGTTGGGCTGATGCTTCAAAAGCTGCGCAGGTATATATAATATTAGAACTTCGTTGTGGTTTTTCGTATGAATGTGTATTTTTGCACACGCACTGTTTAGCTTGTGCTGGCAGTTCCTCGCGGGCCCTTGATTCACACACCCAGCATGCGGAAACGATAGAGCAGGATAGAGCCCTCCTTATTTTGTTGTTTCTCTCTCTCTCTCTCTCTCTCTCGCTCCAAACTCCGTGACACTTGGACAGACGAGCCCGAATGTACAGGAAAAGATGGACAGCATGCTCAACGAACTGAAAGACTTGTTCCCTGGGCCGCAACAAGACAGTGAGGATCATGTGCTTAGGGTTCTTAGGGTTCTTGTTCTGGTGTTCAGAAACTTTGTCTGTACAGCTTTGGACCATGGCCAAGCTGTGTTGGGATTTGTTGTCTTAAGCAAGTCAACCCCACTCAAACCTACGGAGCGCCGCCGACGCTACCGGCCAAGCTGCTCCACACAACTTGTACGAAGTAGGGTGATAAAGTACCCTAAGTAAGGTTATAAGTATTGTGATCCTACTTTGAACCCTACTTATACCTATATACACCTAAACTCCTAAACCCTAAACCCTACTTATGACTGCCCGTGAACCTCCGAGTAGCCACTGCCCGGGGCGAGCTAAGTACTTGATGGGTCCAGGGCAGTTCCAAGTAGCAGGGTTCGATGCGCCAGGAAAGGTTGCAACATGTTGTAGCCGATTCTGTAGCTTGAGTTACTTTACTCCAGGTGAATCTCAAAGTAGGGCCAGTTCTAGCTTTAGTGTCTTTGCTAGGCGTGAAATCTCGAGGTAGGGCCAGTGAGGGCGTTAGTTTTTTTGGGCTCTGGTCACTACCTGCGCGTGCATCTCAAAGTAGGGCGGGTAGCCGTAGAGGAGGTCAAGGCATAGTACCAGAGAACCGACTTCAATAATTCCAATACATTTCTTCTATCTTTTTGAACACCTTTTTGCAAAAAGATCATTCCCAAATGCATCATTCTCATATGATCTGGAACGAGATGCTTGCACACAGCAGCTTTGATCAACAGGAGGTCATCGGTTTCGTGGCTTTGGTTTGTTATGCCCCCAAGCCCTAAACCCGAAACCCTAAACCCTAAACCCTAAACCCTAGCCCAGGCACATGGAGCTCAAGCAGCAGCGGATGCTAAAGGAGCCCATGCTGTGTGTGTGTCTCGTGGTTTCTCTGAAGCAGGTCGTGACCGAAACAGAAGCGATTCAGACCCAGGCAGATGTTCCTGGTTTAGGTAGGCCCTCGAAACAGTTTTCAATTTTCCCTGAGTGGGTTTAAGAGGATAGGAATATTTTTTCAGAGGGTTTTAAGGGCCATCCTAGTGGACCTCGTAAGTTCTAAATCCTCAGATCTGGGTCCGAAATGTGTCAAGGACAGCTGAACCCACGTTAGGAGGGTTTAGGGTTTAAAGTTTAGGGTTTAGGGTTTAAGTAGGAAGTAGGATTAGTTGTATATAGGGTCTATTTGTTTAGGGTTGAACGTGCCGCCTTTGATGGAATGGCTCGGCAAATATTGTGGACGAGTGCATGTTACCCTGCTGCATGAAATACCAAACGCTCCTGGCACCACACTTGGAGGTTCATGGGTGGTTATGATTAAGGGTTTAGGGTTCTGGAAGCAAAAGGGTTTAGGGTTTAGGGTTGAAAACAAAGGGTTTAGAGTTTAGTGCTGCATGAAGGTATGTGAGTAGCTAATAAGTAGGCCTCCGAGGCTTTATGCACGCTACGGGGTCGGAATCATCATACTATGCTTAACTCTATTCTAATTGTTGACGTCCCTTGTGGTTCCTTTACAACTATACGATCACAACCCCTCAAGAAAACTGGATTCTAGTTGTTAAGGCCCCTGTCTTAGGCAAGTCTCTGGCGCAGTCACAAGATGTGGCCGTGGGAGACAGCATGACAGCTCGACAGCATAGCTTGGCGCCACACAAGGTACGACGCACACGCTGATGAAAGAGTTCCCCTAAACCCTAGCCCTAAACCCTTTACCCTTTCAACCCTAAACCCTAAACTTACCCTAAACCCTAATCCCTGTGGTGATTGGCAGAAAGGGGCTCCCCAACGATGGAAGAGTCTCCAGCACTCCCTCGGCCGACGATCATTGGGGAGTCTCCCTTAATTTCTACCCTTTAGGCCTCTTAGAGCTCTTAGGGCTGAGGGCTCTTAGGGCTCTTAGGGCCCTTAGGTCTCTTAGGGCTCTTAGGGCCCTTAGGGCTCTTAGGGCTCTTAGGGCTCTTAGGGCTCTTAGGGCTCTTAGGGCTCTTAGGGCTCTTAGGGCTCTTAGGGCTCTTAGGGCTCTTAGGGCTCTTAGGGCCCTTAGGGCTCTTAGGGCCCTTAGGGCTCTTAGGGCTCTTAGGGCTCTTAGGGCTGAGGGCTTGCTTGGGGTTTAAGTTTTTTTCTATTCCGTACGACTGGCCCCATCCAAGCCGGGCGCACCCTCTTAAAAGGGAGCGCTGCGGGATCTGCAGTTTTCAATGTGTCGTTTGGCTAGCGGTTTAGCTCGTGAATAGGGGGGAACTTGGTTAATTGTCTAGCCCGAAACTCCGAGCCTACAGCCCCCCCCCCCCCCCCCCCCCCCCCTGCCTCCCACCTTTAGCCCTTTAGCCCTTTAGCCCTTTAGCCCTTTAGCCCTTAACCCTAAACCCCTCGGCCAGGAGCTCCAGGCGGCCCAGGGCCAGGGCTTCGCGTAAGAAGCGCCCAGAAAAACAAGGCTCGGCCAATGTTTGTTGGGTTTTGCCATGGGCTTAGAATTGGGTTTAGGGTGTAGGGTTTAGGGTTTAGGGGTCTGCCATGGGTTTAGGGTTTAGGGCTCAGGGGGAGAGAGAGAGGGTGTCATTTCACTTGAGGGAGGCCTGCTACAAAATTCCATCACGGACACCCAGTAGTAGAGTAGGTAGCCTTTAACCTTTTGGGGTAGTAGAATCCCCTTGATAATCCCAAAGGCTAACCTTTAATTCCCCCAGGTTACCGGACAACTAAGGACCCTAAACCCTAAACCCTAAACCCTGAACCCTAAACCCTAAACCCTAAACCCATCAGCCCCCACAAGTCGCGACATCACCCTGGACCCTAAAAACCCGTCAGTCGCATCCTGCACTTCATACCACGCAGTTTAGGGTTTAGGGTTTAGGGTTTAGGGTTTAGGTTTGTATTCTTCTTAGTAGCTGAGTGAGTACACCATACCACTTTTTGGGATACTCTAATCTTCTACAAAACTAACTAAGACTCCCGGAGGCCGCGCGACTTCGACCTTTCCCCCGCCGCACATGTGACGCCGGCTCGTAGGAGGTTTCTTCTGGCTCAAGTGCTGTGTGCTTGCTTGTTGGTCCAGCCTAAGCTCCCTCCAAACCCCTCTAAAACACTAACATCCCAAAGGCCCGAACTAACCCTAAACCCTAAACCCTAAACCCTAACATCCCAAAGGGCCCTAAACATGCAGCTGGAGCTGGACATGGAATAATTCATGCTGGCTTCTGCTGGCTTAAGGGGCTCCAAAGATTGAGTTGTGCATGGCAAGGGATTTCGGGCGACAAGTGTTACGTAACCACAAAAGCAGGGATTAGGGTTTAGGGTGTAGGGTTTAGGGTTTAGGGTTTAGGGTTGAACCCTAAACCCGAAACCCTTTTTTCAGCAATTGTCAACCTTGGGAAGCGAACGGTTCTCAGTTCTTTTTGTTCTCAATTGTCAGCCTTGCCGAGACACTCACGTTCACGTTTCCGGCCGCATTGACGGCTTCGAGCGTTTGCCACCGCAGCGCTTCCGGAGTCAAGCTTTCAAGCAACAAACTGTTTTCGCTCTGCTTTGCCAGTCGCCATGCTCTGTGGCACGGTGGTCCTCGCCCTGGTCGCACTCAGCGTGCGGAGGAGCGACGTCCAAGTGGGCAGTCAGAAGAGGCTGGAAGTGCGCTGGGTGATTGGATACCGTAGTCTTGCGTTCTCTTCATTTGGCAGGACGCAGTCCCGTGGGATAAAGGCGCCACGGGCCACCGGCAGTCAATCGTCCACAGAACGCGACCCCCGGTGGCGCAGCGGACGGTGGCGGTCAACCGTCCACAGGCCGCGACGGCCACCCAAAAGGAAAAAGAATAATCAGATAATGGGTTGGGTGTGTAGCATGTAAGATGCCAGGGCGCGCCCCCCTGCCCAGCCTGGTGCGCCCCAACTTAATGTGGAAGAATGAGAAGATCTTGCCGGACGGGTGGGTCTGCTACAACTGCGAAACTTCACAAGGAGACCACGGAGGTGCCCGGCAACTTCAGGGGAGTTGAGGAGAGACAGGTTCCCAAACATTGAGGTCGGTCAGGAGTACGACCGCCGCACGGGCCTCAGCCAGAAGGACCGCGAAAAAGAAATGTACTCCGCCTTCCAGAAGAAGGTCACAGGAGCATCGCGATCATCCCTGCGATGTGTCTTCGCCCCAGCTGCGCAGGTGTGAAAAAACCCTAAAACCCTAAACCCTGGTTCGAACGGGTTGTGTCACAAGTCGGTCTCGGAAACTTTCGCTGAAAGCCTTGCAACGTGGGAGCGCCTCCTCGGCCACAAACAACGGCTGGTGAGGACGTTCGCAAAGACGATGTGCGAGAGGAAAACGGCAGCAATCACAGTCTACCCACAGTAACCTTTGTACCCTTACAAAAGGGTAATGTGACTTAATTAAGGCTTGGGAAATGTACCCTTTTTAAGGTGCAAGGTTACTCTTGGTACATGAGTAGCTTCCTAAGTTAGGGTCCCTTTTTGGGTACTCACGACAAGGCGGCGCCCTTTGAAAAGGGATCCCGAAAAAGGGAACCTAATTTGGAGAACTACCCACATACTCAAAGTTGGTGATCTCAGCGAGGCGTCGATGTTCTTCCATTGCTTGAGCGGCAGATGCTGCGCCAGCTTAGAGGCAGCGATTCCTTCCAATCCCCTCGCGGCAAATCCTGCCGGTTGCCAATCACGGCGGCTTCATTGCAAACACCCTGAACCATACTGAGCCAACTTGCCCCTGACAATTGTAAAGTCAAAAAAAGTTGCTTGCTTGCAAGCCCCCTCAACAATTTCATCCCCAGACCGTCCTGAAAGGCTTCAGTAGCCACTGTGTGGGACAAAGACATGGGAAGGTGTGACAGTTTGGATTTGAACATGCCGAGGCCCTGCTGCTTGCTTGTCGGCTGGTGGGTGGCCAAGCGAGTGTTCCAAGCTGCTTGAAGTTTAGGGGCTCGGCGCTAAGGATGGTTTGGGCCTCGCGTTTTTGCGTAGCCGTGTCGAAGGGTCAGAAAATTGAAGAGTTTCAGGCCAATAGCAAAGAGGATCTGAGAAAATTGCGGCGATGAGAAACGCCACTTTCAGCTCTACGGGTGTAGAACTGGCCTGTTTCATTTTCAAAAAGGGGGTGAGGCTTTTCGTGAGGCTTTTCCCCGAGCTTTTCATACTGTCCAAGCAGACAAGGTCAACATCGACCAAACCCCTTGATCCCGATCTATCGTCGTTTCAGTTGCCTGTCTCGTGCAAAAAAGGCAAGCCGTAGACGACCCCGAAGACCCTCTTAGCCTAAGCTCTTTTGTCGCGAGCAACAGCAGTCCGAGGTTTCACTTGCTGCACAGGAGCTGTCGGCGTCCGACGAAGTTGCAGGTGCACAAAGGGCTTGGGTATCGCAAAGCAAGTTTGCTTCAGGGATTACGGAGAAAAGGTTTGCCTTGAAGTAGGTGTCTCAGAAGAGAAGCCTATGACCCGAGAGATTCGGGAATACTAAACCCTAAACCCTAAACCCCAAACCCCAAACCCCAAACCCCAAACCCCAAACCCTAAACCCTAAACCCTAAGCCCTAAACCCTAACCCTAAACCCTAAACCCTAAGCCCTAAGCCCTAAGCCCTAAACCCTGAACCCTGAACCCTCAACCCTGAACCCTAAACTTAAAAGGAGCCTATGACCGAAAGATCCGAGAATACTAAAAGCTATTGCTACAGGCCCTGCAGTGAAACCCACACCTGGTTTAGGGTTTAGGGTTTAGGGTTTAGGGTTTAGGGTTTAGGGTTTAGGGTCCCCAAGTCCCAACTGGACGCATAGGCTGGTTTCCTGGCTGGGGCAGTTCTGATGCCTCCGGACCAGACACGTGAGAGTTTACCGCGACAGGACATAGTTGCCGAGTTAACATGGTGTGGATTTAGAGGACCTTCAGAATTTGAGGTATAGGTTCAGAACCCTATATAGCCTGGAATAGTATCTTTACTACGTTTACACCGTTGTGGCAGCAACTGGCGTCAACCCCCTGAGCAACCTTTAACCCGTCCAAACCCGGACGCTCTGACGCATGCACGCCGTCAAGCAACGACGCCGTGTCCTTAAAACCGTATAGAAGCTCCAACCCCTACCGAGCCCTAAACTTGAACAAATCCGATACACCCTACAAGTAATCCCTATAAACCCTACAAGCCCTGTAAACCCTCTAAACTCTATACACCCTAAACCCTAAACCCCTAAACCCCTAAACCCCTAAACCCCTAAACCCCTAAACCCTTGACGAGACTGCTTCAGTTTGTTTTTTGTTACCGGAGGCCGGCAGCTCGCTGATGCGGCTCCACTAGACGGCCGCTGGCTGGGGCCCTGATCCCTCAGAACCCCCTCCTAAGGTTTAGGGTTTAGGGTTTAGGCTTAGGGCTAAGGGTTTTAGGGTTTTAGAGTTTTTAGGGTTTTTTGGTTTTTGGGTTTTTGGGTTTTTTGGGTTTTTTTGGGTTTTAGGTTTTAGGGTTTCGGGGTTTCAGGGTTTTAGGGGTTCAGGGTTTTCGGGTTTTACCCCAGGAAGCTCAAATATCCCAACGCGACGTTTGGTTTGGTCATTGTCATGGTTGGCCTTTTTGGGCCTTGAAAGCCTGAAGTCAGGGTCCTAAGGGCCTTCGTGCGATAAATGCTAAGGCCAAAGTTTGTGTGGGTTTCCCGGGTCTAGGGCTTAGACCCTCCCGCCCAGCATTGAGCCCCTAAGTAAAAGGGGGCTTGGAGGACCTCATAGGTCTGTTAAAAACATACAAGGGGATGTATGTGTTTCTTCATATTTGGGCAAGGGCGTAGGAACAATTCTCGATAAGTTCGGTGCAGATGCATGCTCAGGAAGGCACGACATTCAGGATTTAGAGTGGTCTGGGCTGGGCAAATTTCAACCTTGAAGCCCTAAGCATCATTGTGAAACCCGAATTTCTGAACCCTGCTTTGATGAACCTTATACATTTAGGACTTACTTGGCGGTTCATGCGTAGTTATAAGCGAGTTATAAGAAGAGGTAACTAAGGTTATGGATATAGTTACCCTACTTATGTATAACCCTACTTATAGCTACTCATGAACTTCCAAGTAGAAGGATTCGGGAAAAAGTGCTTAGTCAGCAATGGCTGCAGTTTAGGATCCTACTTGGAGGTTCTCCGGCAGTACCGGGGGTTTTTGCCAAAAAAATCTTACTGTACGCTCATGCTTGGGGTACTTCTACGCCTACGCCCAGCAGATTCAGGTTCTATTAGGGTTTGGGGTTTAGGGTTTAGCTGCTCAAATCTTCAAGCGGTATTTGACATGTTGCCCCGAACACGCCAGAAATCTGGCAGAGCCCAGAATCCTTCATCCGGTTGCTTGGCTTAGGCGTGCAGGCTAGGGCTTCTGACAAATGGGGATGTAAAACTTTCGAACTTTGTGTTATATCTCCCACGAAAACAAACATAAACC